CGGACATGTTTGTTGACCCTCAGATCTTAGTGCCGTTTGACCCCTGCAGGAGCACCAGGGGTCGATTAGAGGAGAGAGAGGAGAAGGGAAGGACGGGAGGTGAGACACAGAGAAAACCCACAACTGCAAAGCCAAATCTTATAGTGCCCCATCTTTATTTTTTAGCATGTGGGCAGGTGGTTAAAGCCACCCAGAAGAAATGTAGCCATACTGACTGAACTGGCGGACGTTTTGTCTGTAACCAGCGCCAAGCTAAGTCTGCTTTTCACGTTTACACAAGACACACCAGCCAGAGGCTGCATGCTTCTCCATCACACTTTTTCCTACATCAGTTTGAAGAGACTGTACAGAAATATGTTACAACTGTATGTTCCATTATTATTATTATTATTATTATTATTATTATTATTGCTATTATTATGTGACAGAGGAAAAAGTGTACATAGAAAGAAACTCCAGTGCTGCTCCTGTTCATTGTTGATTTGTCTCTATTTCCTGTTCTCTATTTTGCAGTGAAGTGTCTGGAATTTAGGTTCCACTTTTGTTTCTGTGCTGGCTAACCGTCATTCAGTTTCTCTCTCTTCCTATTTCACAATGAACAGAGGCAGTTTTGGTTGCCCTCGTGTTATACTCTTGAGAAACACTAGAAGGAAAAACTGACGATCTGCGCTCACATGCTTTATTTCTTGGCATGAGGTGTCACATTCAATCAGCCATAAGTGTATTGTATCTCTTTCCCTGCAAGCTTTTTGTTTTTCCCTTCTGTTTTATTCAGAAACATCAGTGTTACTATGTCAGGACTTGAATTTTTAATATATATCTATATATATATATTAATGCTGTATTATAGGTGTTGTCATTGATATCAACAATGTCATGTTTTTGTTGTCAATATTGTTTTACAGTTTATTTTTGCTCAGATGAAAGCCATTTTTTCATTTGCTTTGTGTGCATGTCTGAATGAAAGATTGAGTAATTCCTGCCACTGTATCAGCTCCCATTTTGTGCACGTGTAGTCTTTTTTACACACACTAGTGTTTCCCCCCAAAATGTTCTTCTTGTAAAGGTGAAACAATTCTCTGCAACCATCAAGTGACACTAAAACTCACTCAAACATACAACAGTGTTTCATTAGTCTGAGTTTTATTGCATCTGTGGGGAAACTCTTGCACTCAAACTGTCCACAATGTCCTCTGAGCCATCCAGAATACTTTCTTCTTCTTCTCCTTCTTCTCCTTCTTCTCCTTCTTCTCCTTCTCTGTTACCATAATAGTAGCTCTTTCATCCTCTTCTCTCCCAGCTTTGGCTGTGAAAAGTAGCATTTAATCTACCTGTTAATCAGATAAAAACGAGTAGCAACTTACTCAGACCGTCCATGTGTTTCTGCATATACTTACTCTCTTTCTGTCTCTGTCCACACAGTATCGAAAAACTCAGTATAATATTCAGTTTTATTGGCCTACTGGGTAGCTTAACAGCAATGATGTCTCCATACTTTAGCTGCAATATCTCTCCTTGCTTGCTGCGTGGGTGATCAGATACGTTTGGGCAACCTTTGCTCCGATCTCACCAACGCAATCAGTGTTAATCAACGTTTCCTTGAAGCTGGAAGTCTCAGTAAAGACTGTGCTGATCTCAGTTTTAATGCAGGTGTAGAGACTTGCAGTGTGCTGTCTTTTTACAATATAAACTGTAGACCTGTTTTTTTTTTTTTTTTTTAGAAAAGTGATTCGGAGGTGAGCTGAATGGACAAAACTGATTCCTGGTGAAATATCTTTATGTTGATATTTTATGGGATGGTCTTTGTACATGTCCAGGCTGTCATATGGCACGCGGCCTCCAAAAAAAGACTTAAAAAAGTGAATGTACCTGTCACTGGAAGGCATGCTCTGCTTTCTCTGGTTGTTTTGGTTTCTCTTTTATACACAGTGTATGTACTATTTATGATCATGCTTTTGGGGTGTACATTGGTTTAAAAGAATCTGTTATAAAAGGTGTTATAAAAGGATATATTATCCTGTGTACGGTTCATTATCTACTATTTACCATGGCAACATTTTAACAGTCCACACTCGGTCTGTTATGTTTGTGCTACGAAGCAGAAAAAAAAGAAAAGCGTGTCTCTTTGTCTGTGCCACTCTGGACACGGTTATGTAAAAGGTGCAATTTGTGTTATATTTTGTTTTTTTAATGATACAAACATGTCTGTGGTTGTAAGGGGAAAAAAAAGACTTTTTGGGGGAAATTCATCTGCTTATTAAAAAAGCAAAACTGCAGCCAAACACAAAGGAGTTGAGTTATATTTTGCCTGACAGACAAAAGATGAAAGGCTGTAATTTTTATTTTTTATCATTTCTAATGCAGTGGTGTGTCTTCTTTGGGATAACATCACACATTTGTGCATGTGCATTTCCTTCATCAACATTTTCAAAGGTTATTTTTAAAATATTTTAAATTCTGTATTGTTTACATCCACCTACAACACTGGCTTTGGTGGCAAATTGCTGCATTTCCTACTGCCACCAACTGATGATCAGTGGAATAGCATGAAAACAATTGGCCAGAGGTGGAAGAATTATTAAGACCTTTTACTTAAACCAAGAGTGTGGGATAAATGACAAATTGTCCACACTATAGGTTCAGGTAAAAGTACTAATACAACAATGTAAATGTACTAATTTACAAGTAAATGTCCTGCATTTGAAATCCTAAAATAGTAAAAGTATAATCAGTAAAATGTAGTTAAAGTATCAAATGTAATTACAAGTAAAACATTATATATTTTATTATTAGGTTGTTGATACTAATGAATCATTGCTAAAGCAGCATGTTACTGTTATAGCTGGTCGAGGTGGAGCTTTAATTACTTATATACAGTTAGGGAGTTTTGTGGTTCACAATCTAGGAGTCGGACTTACTTCTAAGGGTTACAAGATAAATCTGAGGGGTCATGGAAAAGAAGAAAAGCTCTGCTTCACAAATTTGTATTCTTTTCTCAAATATTTGCTGTTTTTGGTGAAATACTGGATCATTTTACCTTTTTTGAGCTTCAAATTGTTATTTAAATGAAACCATCTGACAAATTAGAAGGGGAACTGTCTCTTCTTTGGAACTGATGTGGTCACAAACCAAAACGATTAGAAACCACTAGTTCAATCTTTAGCAGTTTATTGTTCTTTATAAGTATATTTTTATTATGTAAAATCTAGTAACAATAGGTGTCATATAATAGTAGTAAAGTAAAAAGGACAATATTTGCCTTTAAGGACCACAAAATTGTACAGTTGTAAGCATTGAAGTTGTGCTTTATTTCGATGATTAGCACCAGTTGCTTACTCATGCTTTATAATCACTGACTCATTTATCTGCTTATTGGCTACAAGCTGACTAGTAACATACAGTACAGAGCAGCCATTATAACCTGACACTATAACCCTGCCCATGCCAACGCCGCTTGCTGCTGCAGCTCCCCACCACCTCTTCCAACCTCTTCAGTATACGCTAAGCTTTTGGTATTGTCGACTTAACTAAAATGTAATGTTCACGTACATGTTACGAGTCCTCGGCCCTCGTCAGATTCTTTTAGAGCTAAATAAATCTAAAATCTAAGGCCAATGAACCTGTATTAGGCAGTCTTATGGGTGAAGTATCAGGCGGTGGCACAGTTGGGGTTTCAGTTCATACCAAAGACAATGGGTGGGGCTGAGGTAAGGGCTCTGAACAGGCCTAGTCATGCCCAAACTAGCCCAAAACATGATAAACAGTTTCATACTACAAGTACACAAGAATATGTGGAAATTTAAATCCAGTTGTAAGATCTTTGTCATACAACAGTATAAAAAGGCACAGGTATAATTAATAAAATGTATGTTGGCTGGATTTTAAATGCTTCACTTTCGGGCTACTGGTATGCCTGGTATTGTGCATTGTGACTCACTGCCATGACTCTCCACCGAGACATGTTTAATAGAACAGAGTCATTTTTTATGTTGTTGGTTAAACCATGATGAGTCAAAATGTCTCATTACTAATAACTGGTTGGTCAGTATCCCATGTCATCAAGTGTGTCGTGTGCTCTCAGCAAAAACAGCTGGAACATTGTGGTTAGGCTCACTTTAATATTTCTCAAAAGACTGTGTGTCTGTGGTATTACTTAATTTTTAACCTATATATTTTATTTTAAGCTGTGTCTTGAATGTCTTTAAATTTTTGAGTGACTTTAATATTAGATTTTAAAGTGAAAGTTTAGATTTATTGAGGGATTATAAAATGTCTTGATTGTTGCTCATCCATACTTTCAATCCTTCAATATAATCCTTTCAATATATTTATTGGAGGTGGTGGAAGAAGAAATCAGACCTTATGAATTGGCACTATATAAATAAAACTGAATATTTTGCTTTAAAAGTAAGTAAAAGTAAAAGTACCAGTGTTAAAATACTCAAATCTTAGTAAAAGCACAAAAGTATTAGCATCAAAATATACTTTGAGTAGCCTACTAAAATTAAGAATTACTTATATTATGCAGAATGGCCCGTTCAGAACAATATATTACATAATTGGATTATAATTAGTGATACAATAATGTGTTCTTAGATATTGCAGCTTGTGGAGCTCATTTTAATTGCATTATATACTGCCTGGTATATTAAACCATAACCATAAAATATCATTTATTTATTAATTTTGTCAAATAAATGTAGTGGAGTATAAGTATAAAGAATGGAAATACAGGAGTAAAGAACAAGCACCTCAAAAGTGTACAGTACTTGGGTAAATATACTAAGTTACATCCCACCGATGCTTTTATTGGTGGAGCAACTTCAAAGCTTTTTTAATGTAATTTCCTATTATTTCATGTTTTTATTATAGATTTTATAATTTTATTATAATGTATTTTACGTTTATTCATCAATTGGTTTTATTTTGAAATGTCATTCTCATAATTTGTCCACGCGACAGTTACCACAACAAAAGCCTTTCACTTCCCGTCGTCCTCCGGGTCAAAAATGAAACTAAACAGAACATCGGGGAAGATTCCACCTCCACAGAAACATATCTTTTGTTGTGTAACTGCGACCTATTGTCAGACTAGCGGGGAGGCTGACTGACTGCAAGAAGAAAAACATCGAGTTTCTCTTCCACTAAAGTGAAAGTAGGGGAGTGTGTAGGTTTTGAAATGCTGCGACAGTGATTCACCTGTTGGTCCCTCCCGGATGCGTTAGTACATGAAACTATCTGAGGTTTTTTACAGCTGACTTCACATGAGATCTGTAGCGCGACTCAGCTGACACCACATCAAACTGTCCACGGTGAGTTCAGGCTTTCACTCTGAATTTTTTCTTTTGGTGCATTTCTCAGTTAATGAACTATGTTGAAATTAACTGTAGCTACCTTTTCTTTTTGCCATATTTTAAACTGTTTTTAATATATGTCCTGCCAATTTGTGTGTGGTCAAGACCTGAATGAATAGCGTATCAGTTCATGTTCAAAATGTCTTTTTCTTTTAAATCCCGCAGATGTCTGATTTCAAAACTCTCGTTTTCTTTGACCTGGAGACCACTGGATTAGGTAACATAAACTTTTAAGTCTGCTTATCAGCTCTTGTTGATCGATACTAATGGCATCAGCTAAATTAGATCTGACCCTTTATTTACCTTATTTGACAACAGCATTGTCAAATATGGTAGGGTTTTTTTTTTCATTGTTTATGATAGACTATAGAATAGAATAGAATATTTTTGCCTAAAATATATATTTTATATTTTTTTTATAAAATGTTTTTTGAGCTTGAAAGTTCATATTTGATCTTGAAAATAAATGGATCCACTTACTGTGATGGCATTTTTCCACAGCTTGTTTACTTTATAACTTTTCTTGTCAAAATAATTAGTTTAATTAAAAGTAGCAAAAGTTTAAAAATACTCTGATACATGTAAAAGTCCTGCATTGAAAATCATCATCAAATTATACTTAAAGTACCAAAAGTAAAAGTACTTACTATGCAGAATTGCTCATTTCTAAAATAACATATTATATCACTGGATTATAATTAGTGAGGCATTAATGTATAAGCATCAGTAATGTTGCAGCTGGTAAAGGTGGAGCTAATTTGAACTACTTCATTTACTGCCTGGTATCTTTATCTATAATAAAACATCATTACTTATTAGTTGATTTATATTTATTTTATAATTATTTTATAAAATCTGAATCAGAATCTGCAAAATAACTAGTAACTAAGGCTGTATAAATAATAATAATAAAAATACAGTTTTTGCTTCATAATGGAGTACAAGGATAAAGTAGCAATAAAAGTACCTCAAAAATGTACTTAACTACTTTCCACCTCTGCTTTTAACCCAGTGCGTCATTTCTCGTGCAATCACTTAACAAACTAAGTGTTACTTTAGAAGTGTTGTGTGTTTAATGTATGCTTCATTGTGTACCAGTATGGCTCCCTAAAAATAACTGATAATAGCCAACATCATAACAGGGAGTCAGAGTCATGAAGGTCTTGAGAAATTAAAGCTTAGGGTTTGGTTAGAAAAGGGCGAAGTATCACTCGGCTGTCATTACACTTTGAGCCACTAAGATTACATAACAGAGGACATGTTTGTGCCACAAACCAGCCAGAGATGCTCTTCCTGTGGCTGCCACAGGATGCCTCTGCTACATTACTGACTTGAATGGAAGTTGCGACACTAAGATTTAATTGTCATATCAATTATACAAATAGTACATATCCTAAAATATTAAATACTAATCTTGAATTTTTGCAAGATTAAGGCTGGATTAAGCCAGCAATTGCAAGGCCTCAGATCTCTAGCGGCATCTTTAATCAATATTTTTTATTAGCAATGGATTAAATGACTACGAACACTTCATCTCTGTTATGGAAATAAAGTAAGCCAGGTTCAGGTGGGATGGAGAAGTTTAAGAGACTGATAAAGTAAAAATAAAATACCACATGCACACAAACCTGAAGGGTACTTCCTGTGTGTATTTATCCTTCCTAGACCTACAGAGATTCGCTAAGTGTCTAAATAAGATTATTGTTCACCTATATGCAGTACATAGGTTCAAATCAAGACACTATTCTTATTTAAATTAGCCTAAAGTGAAGTTGTCTGTCATAAAAGCCACATGCAACACTTTCAACATAGAGCCAGTCAGTTGGTCTGTAATTAAACAAAATAAGGATAATATCGAACTTGGGTTACAAAACATATGGATAACAACGCATCCTTATCAAGGTGGCTGCGTCAGTCAGTCGACCAAGAAGACAGAGAGGAGAGACAGAGTCTGACCTACTGTTCACTGGCCGTGACCTTGGCTTACTTTAGCTCAGAAATTGACCCTATCATGACCTGGGGAAACCTGTGTCATAGTACCCGTAAAATTCCTTTACAATCTCGGGCTGTGTGAGATTGTGATGGGCAATTCTGACATTTTAAAGACCAAATGATTAATTGCTTAACTGAGGAAATAAGGTGACAAATTAATTGATATTAGAAATGATCATTAGTTGCTGCCCTGGCTGTTAAGTATGTAAAATTTACCCTTCCTGTCAAAGTAGGTGGGTCTTGAACCTTTAATGCAATGCTGTGACAGAAACTAGAAGCTCAGACTGATTTCATTGTAACTTTAAGGTGTCTGTGGTTTTGACTGTGTAGGTGTGCCAGATGACTCAGTGGCTGCTCTCGTTATCATAACACATTTGGCAGGACGTCGTGGTTAAAGCTCTTTCATGTGTAGTTCGTTTGAACATGAGTTCCTCAGAAATCTTGCCACTTGTGTGTGCTCTTTTAACAAGGTGTACTTTCCAACAAAAGAAAATCTTATCACAACATCCACTTGCTGGAAATTGTTTTTACTTTTAGCAACATGCCATCAGTGTAAAAGGGTCGGGTTATGCTGATGAACAAGGAAGTTGCAATCTGCCACTATGTTCAAATCACACATGACAGCCCAGCTTTGTTCCTGAGGGCTAGCCTCCGCACAGCTGGCCAATTGTACAATCCTAAATCCCGCCCCTTTTCGCCAATAACAGTTGGCTGGATCTCAGTCATCTTTCCCCTTTACTAGACTCGCCTACGTTGAAAAGAAAAAATTACTTTAAAGATGGTTAAAAGATGTTGCTGGGGTGGCTGTAAAAGTGACACTTTATACCCATTACAATGTAATGTGTCTTCATGGACACACATGTAGTCAGTGTGTAAGTTTTAGTGATATCTAGTGGTGAGAGTTGCGAATTGCACCCCCCAACCCTGCCACTAAAACTTACACACTGAACCTTTAAGTTAGCAAAACACTCGGTAACATATAACTACATCAAAAGGAGTTTGCCTAATGTCAAATCACTTACATCAGCCAGGATTTGGAAAAGGACAGATAGGTTGGTAGCTGACATAATTTTAAAATGATGTGAATTATTATTAGCCAGAAAAGATCAAGTCTAACGTTGTTTTATTTATATTGTCTCTGTAAGACCACATGCCGCCCTTAAGTAACTTTTGGTGTTATTTATTTGGAACCTGGCTAAACAGCTGTCAAGCTTGTCTGACCTAGCAACAATAGTTACAGGAGGGCGGAACTTCGGAAGAGTCGCTGTGTGAATGTCGAACTGTTGGTTTTGGAAAGTTAAAGAAATAATCTGTCTGAAATCGACAGGGTGTGGGAGCAGGAGGTGTCCAAGCAGTTCTGAAGAAGCATACTGGCAGAATTTGCTCAGTTGATGGTTCAGTTGTTAACTTGACTTAACAAGTTTGACATTTGGGGGAATGAGCTCATTCTCTCTTTTTGCTGAGAGTTACATGATAAGATTGATATCACTCTCAAGTCTTAAAAAAAAAAAATTGAAAGCTACAACGAGAAAAGAGGTTAGCTTAGCTTAGCACAAAGAATGGAAACCAAAAAATAGTCCTGCATGTAACCCACTGTAAAGCCACAATATGTCAAACGATGAATCGATTATTAAAATAGTTGCTGATTAATTTAATAGTTGACAACTAATCGATTAATGGACTAATAGTCTCTAATCTATATTTTGTGTAATCGGCCTACAATAGTTTTAGAATTAAATTTAATATTATAAATTATATTTTTTTATATTTTCTTTTTGTCTTACCCTCCTTTCATTTATATCCTCTCTACATTCAGACACTGCAGTATGTGACATCATCCAGTTGTCGGCCATCTGTGGAGAGAAGGTCTTTAACGTCTACACCCTCCCCCGCCGTGCCCTCACTGAGAGCGCAAAAAATGTCACAGGGTTCACCGTCAGTCAAGGCACCCTGTTTCTCCACGGGAATCCTGTGGAGACTATACCTCTTGTTGAAGCTCTCACCTCCTTCATGGCCTTCCTTTGCTCCTTCCACCGCCCTGTGGTGCTGGCGGCCCACAGTGCAAGGCGGTTTGACGCACCTGTGCTCACCAGAGTGCTGCGACAGTTCTCCCTCCGGCAGGAGTTCCAGCAGGTGGTGTCCGGGTTTCTGGATACCTTCCTACTAAGCAAGAACCTCTATCGGGGTCTGGGCAGTTATTCTCAGAAAAACTTGGTCCGCCACTATCTCGGAAAGACCTACAACGCCCATAATGCTATGGAGGACGCCAGGATGCTGCAGGAGCTGTTCAACTCGTGGAGTCCTAACAGATGTGATGTCTTGAGATTTATCTACAGGTCGTCCCTAGCATTTTAAAAAGGCTGCAAGACAAAAAAGAGGAAACCAATACTCCGCTTAGAAGTTAACCTTTTCAATTTTGTACTCATCATGTGTCAGACATTCAGAAAAACAGTTCTTGTGATTAGAGACAAATAATGCTTGTTACACCCCAAACCCCAAATAATGTACTGTAACATGTCTCATACTCACACGAGCTGTACTTGTTTGTCTTCCCAGCAAATTGTAGCCCCAAAAAAATATTAAACATCCATTTAATTCTTCTAGACAATTTGGTATTTTTTAAATTATTATTTGCACTAAACTTCCTACAGAGTAGCCTCAGTAGACCAGCATGCAACTCAGCCGTAAGGCTTGTTGTGTTTAATTTTAAAAGCATTTTTTCATGCGATCATTATCTTTATTCCCTGTTCTACCTTCAGTACTGTATACGTGTAATAACGAAAAAAGACTTTTCTCCAAGGGTTTGTCGCACATGCAGCACTTTAGGAAATTCAGGAAATCACTATCTAGAATGAGATTAGAGAGGTGAGATAAAAAAGGATCTACTGTATGTGGTTTAAGCAAGGATGTTTAATGTTGATTTGCTGACTTTTGTACATGTTTCAACATATAAATCTCTCCTCTGAAATATTTCAAAAGCACTTTCTGATGGATTATGAATTCTTGTTTAATAAGAAATTAGTCTGTGTACATAATATACATCATAGTGTAGATAAAGTGTTAAAAGTGATGAAAATGATGCTTTGCTTAAAATATAATTCATTTGCTTGTATGTATTATAATAGCAGAGTAGAGTTTTTTAAAAGAAATATATGAAACTGATATCTACAACCAAAATACCACAAAACATGATCAAAAAGTTAGAGAGACTGTAACGAATTTGTTGTTGATACATTTAAGGAATACTTGCAATGAGATAATTTATCCAATCATGAATATGTTTTAAAAATGGGGAATAAACATTACATTTATTCATTTAGCTGACGCTTATCCAAAGCAACTTACAATTGCTGTATACGTCAGAGTTAGGGTCGCACATCTTCGGAGCAACTAGGGGTTAAGTGTCTTGCTCAGGGACACTTTGGTGAATGTGTCACAGTGGGAATCGAACCCAGGTCTCTCACATCAAAAGAATGTGTCTCATCCACTGCCCATCACCACCTCAAAAAGATTACATTGAAAGTAAGAAACAATATTGTTGTTATTAAAATGTATACAATCTCACCAAATATCCCTCTAAATAAATATAATGAAGTGTATTGTTAAGTTCTTCTTTCTTATAAAATATGCAACTATAATCAGTGTCAATATATCCACCAACCAAACTTCTGTAAGTATTTCATCCACGTTTTGATTAACCTCTGCCAAGTTGCGCTGCCATTTATCTCCTGTAGAGGGCAGCACCGTCCGTGGGACACTTAGATCTGCTGGGTCATATTTTACAGAAGAAGACAATGTCTCTCCAGAATAATATAACAACGTTTCTTGTTTCACTCTTGTTTAGTTGGAAAATGATATTTGCTCAGGAAATACGTTGTACAGTGTATAGCTACAAGTGTTTTGATTGGTACGTGTTTTATTGCTTGGCTACAACTCATTTATCTTGTTCTTGTCCGTAAATTCATCTTCAACGAGGCTTTTGTTTTGAAAGTTATGTCTGTCTAAGCAGGTGTTTTAAAAACACGGAGGGAAATCTTTACCGACGCCATGTAAATGTCAGTGTCTCTAATGTGTCTTCGTTTCGATTACGTTATTTTACTAAAGTCATTTGATAAACGTTACTGAACTGTGGGCTTGACGGGATGCAAAAATCAGAATCGGACAAGGTTGAAAAGTCTCAACCGTCGCTGGTTTTCTTTGACTTGGAGACAACTGGACTGGGTAACGTTAAGAAAATCTTTCCTTTAACGTTAATGTTTATATGACTTGATGCTTCTCATTCTCTTGTCCTGCTTATGGAAGATAAAGAACGCATAACACCATCCAGATGTTTTAAAACAAAGCTTTATTTTCCACATTGGGTCTGTTTAAAACTATTTAAGATGTTGCCCTGTTGTGGTTAAATATTACTTGCTTCTGGGGCAGCAATTAATGATTATGTTCTAATGATAATGTTATGTTGATTAATCATCTAAATCAAAAGCCAAAGAGGTATAACAAAGTACAACTTACATGTTTCACAGCCAAAAGTGACATTTTAAAGTGCTTATTGTCAGTTTACAAAGAAATTATAAAGACTGTAAAGCAGCAAAAAGCTGAAAATGTCTTAACGATTAATCATTATCAATATTGTCATTGTGGGTCGGCACAAGCAATATATAGCCATGACAATATATACTGAGAGACCATATAAATTTGGTTACAATCAGAGTTTTTTTCATAGTATTACATATCTGGTGTGTCAGACCCCTGTTGGAAATATTTTTAAATCACTGAGTGAGTCTGTTTTATGGCTAATTTTAATTTTTGTATGATTTGCATTAATGTGATAAAGTACCTTTTGATTTGTAAGGTATTTCATTTGCTGAAATAGCCAAAAACAGTCATTGTTGTTTGGTTATTTTATCAACGTTTCTCAATTGATTTTCCAGGTAATTTACTGTATCATCATGATGCAGTGTGAGTTATTGTATAATTGTACGCATGTCTTCCATGCCTAATTCTTGTTAATTAGTTTTTGACTAACCAAACAGCCTGTGTTTCAGCCTACAATCATTCTATCATAGTTTTCACATTTTCTGCTTCAACACCCAGTGCCCCTTTTTGTGGAAAAAGATCCTCTGAAGCACACAGAAGCTTTTATCCCAGTGTTTTATTTGTCCAGGTCAGAGTTGTGAGATTGTCCAGCTGGCTGCAGTGAGTGGAGGCCACTCACTCAACCTCTATGTCATCCCTGGGTGTCGAATGCAGCGAGGAGCAGCCAAAGTGACTGGCTTCAGGGTCCGTAGACAGAGACTGTACCTCCATCGCCAACTTGTCCTCACCAACTCCCTGCGAGAGGTCCTGGTCTCCTTCATAGCTTTCCTTAAAATGCTCAGACGCCCGCTTGTCATTGGCCACAACATTCGCCGCTTCGACTGCCCACTGTTGGCTCGAGCTCTTGATGAAGTGGACCTACGTGCAGAGTTTGAGTCATCAGTCTTAGGCTGTGTTGACACTCTACCACTGGCTCGGGAGATGCTAAAGGACCGCTGCCTCCAGAGTTTTCAACAGGAGAACTTGGTAAGGGAGCTGCTGGGTGTGAACTACAAGGCCCATGATGCTTTGGAGGATGTGCGGGCATTACAGGCACTGTATGGTGTGCTTCAGCCCACACCAGAGTTGATCTGTAGGCATAGGTTTACTCTGGACACCATGGAAAACAAACCAGCTTTGACAGCTGCTAAATCTAAAGTGCACTGTAAGAAACCAGAACAGCGCCCCCTGTGGGAGCACTTCAGACAGACAGCAAAGGTCTCTGATCGCAAAGCAGAGGACCAAAATGGACAACTTAATGAATTATAAATCTTTTGACATAAAGAAATGAGATCAAAACACAGAAGACTGGCAGCATTCATCAGCCTGTATAAGGTGAATTTTGTGTTTTGTGTGCCATAAGGTAGAACATTTAGAGGGTTGTTCTTCTTCCAGTGCAAACAGAGCTGTGAGAGTTTCCTCTAATGGTTGATGGTGGTACAAATTAAAAAATCTGACTGGAGAAAATCACTTCAAACATCCTCCTCAGTGAAGCAAAACAATAAACTGCAGTGCAAATGGATTATTCTAGCAAGTTTGTTGACTGGCTTTTGAAAGGTGAAGATACGAAGACAATGCACACACATCTGGAAGTCACACAGTACGACTTCAGCCACTGCCAAATCCTAATGGGGCCTTTGCTTCTTCTAGACTTCCTTAATTTGCTTTATGAATCTTGAGTTTCAGATCTAAAAGCTTCAGTCTTACCATTGTTGTTATTATCCTCAAAATATGCTTTATCGCACAATCCTGACCAGATGGGAGACATGAGTGTCTATTGTAGCTGTAGTAACACTTTAGTCATACATTTGTAGGAATCTTAAGATGGCTGTTGAAATCTGCATGCTGCTTACTACTACTTCACCATTTATTTCAGAAACAAGAAACAGGCAAACAGCCATGATTCAAATGTCTCTTTATATGATTTATAAATGGTGAAAATGTCTAATGGTGGGCAGATTTTTAAATATGTCTCATATCACTGTGTAAAAATGGTGATGACTGTTGGAAACCTGCCTTATGTATACAGTTTGGTTATTAAGAAAATCTTATGTACTTCTATTCTGAATTCTTTAAGGTACAGAATATTTTTAGAGGTAAATAAATCTGCTAATAAATATATTGTACTTGTACAGTGTGTCTCCAATGTATACTTCATTCCCTGTTAGTGCTTGATAAATATATGAATATTTCATGTAGGACTGTGAGATATGGCTGAAATCAATATACCAATGTTCTTCTATTATCAATATGGCTAAATTATACATAAAATATTCAAATGGATGAAAAAATTTATGTTCAGTGCAATACACCTTTTGTAATTTACATCAGATAAAACTATTTGCACAATTAAAACAAATCTTAACAGCTTTTATTTGGATAAAACCTGTTAATATACACTGCTCAAAAAAATAAAGGGAACACTAAAATAACACATCCTAGATCTGAATGAAATAATTATTAAATACTCCTTTCTTTACATAGTTGAATGTGCTGACAACAAAATCACACAAATTACCAATGGAAATCATATTTATCAACCCATGAGGTCTGGATTTGGAGTCACACTCACAATCAAAGTGGAAAACCACACATTACAGGCCGATCCAACTGTAATGTCCTTAAAACAAGTCAAAATTAGGCTCAGTAGTGTGTGTGGCCTCCACGTGCCTGTATGACCTCCCTACAACGCCTGGGCATGATCCTGATGAGGTGGTGGATGGTCTCCTGAGGGATCTTCTCCCAGACCTGGACTAAAGCATCCGCCAGTCCATAGCATCAATGCCTTCCTCTTGCAGGAGCTGCTGATACACAAGGTCTAGCATTGTCTTGCATTAGGAGGAACCCAGGGCCAACCGCACCAGCATATGGTCTCACAAGGGGTCTGAGGATCTCATCTCGGTACCTAATGGCAGTCAGGCTACCTCTGGTGAGCACATGGAGGGCTGTGTGGCCCCCCAAAGAAATGCCACCCCACACCATTACTGACCCAGCGCCAAACTGGTCATGCTGGAGGATGTTGCAGGCAGAACGTTCTCCACGGCGTCTCCAGACTCTTTCACGTCTGTCACATGTGCTCAGTGTGAACCTGTTTTCATCTGTGAAGAGCACAGGGTGCCAGTGGCGAATTTGCCAATCTTGTTCTCTGGCAAATGCCAAACGTCCTGCACGGTGTTGGGCTGTAAGCACAACCCCCACCTGTGGACGTCGGGCCCTCATACCACCCTCATGGAGTCTGTTTCTGACCGTTTGAGCAGACAATGCACATTTGTGGCCTGCTGGAGGTCATTTTGCAGGGCTCTGGCAGTGCTCCTCCTGCTCCTCCTTGCACAAAGGCGGAGGTAGCTGTCGTGCTGCTGGGTTGTTGCCCTCCTACGGCCTCCTCCACGTCTCCTGATGTACTGGCCTGTCTCCTGGTAGCGCCTCCACGCTCTGGACACTACGCTGACAGACACAGCAAACCTTCTTGCCACAGCTCGCATTGATGTGCCATCCTGGATGAGCTGCACTACCTGAGCCACTTGTGTGGGTTGTAGACTCCGTGTCAAGCTACCACTAGAGTGAAAGCACCGCCAGCATTCAAAAGTGACCAAAACATCAGCAAGGAAGCATAGGAACTGAGAAGTGGTCTGTGGTCACCACCTGCAGAACCACTCCTTTACGCAGATTCCAGTTTCTCAAATCTGAATATTTTCTGGTTTCCTAGATCCTCAATTACAGTAAATGGAACATCTTTGGGTTGTGGACAAAACAAGACATTTGAGGATGTCATCTTGGGCTGTGGGAAACACTGATTGACAAACAATGAATTGATTATTTGAGAAAATAATCAACAATGAAAATAATCATTAGTTGCAGCTCTAAAAAAGAACAATGTCGGATTGGACCTGTTTGTTTAAACAACACGTTACATCACTAAAAATAAGGATTTCAGACAGTGTAGTAGCAGAACACGGCTTTATTAAACCACTTTTACATAGACATGTTCTCTACAGTCCCAGACTACAACATCACCATGATCAAAAATGCTAAACCATGCCCTCACTAGAGACATATTCCTAGAACAATAATTAAATAAAACAATTAAGGTAAAACAGTGTGGACTTCTCATTTGTGTGCATTTGAAGGACATGAGTTAAAGAGAAAAAATAACAAAAAGGATTTCTTTGCATGTCCCGGACGTACAGTATTAAAACTAAAAGGTGAACAAAATCAGTAACAAAGGCGTGATAGTTAAATGAAAAGCTTAAATTGGATATTGTTTGAAACATCAACCTCTACGAGATTACATGACTAAATTGAAACATTTTGAAAAGATGGAAAAAAGGGTTGACAAAGAAAAACTAGAGGCAATTTTAGACTTACAGACGGATGAATCTGAGGTAATGGTTCTTTAATCAAAACAATGCAGTCATGTTAACTATAAATGCCCTTCTTTCTCTTAATATCCTTCCATTGTTCAACAATCTCAGCAACAAGTAAAGGTTTAGTGCATCTGTGTTAGAGACAAGCTTAAAAATCAACCTACACCACTAACATGGTCATGAAGTAGGTCAAAGCATCACCTACCAGTTCACCTGTAGTTTCTAATGTCAGACTATTCAGAGAAATATTTACTCAATGGTATGTGGACAGGCATTCATTCTCAAATATTTGATTCCAGATAACCTATAAAAACAGTAACAAGAAAATCCACTTCATGATTGATTGAATTACAGATTGACCCTGGGATGAACTGGAATATTATGCAGACGTTTGCACCATAATGAAATAATCTAGTTACAGTATTGTACCAACATGTTGGAAAGTGGTCATCATAAAAGATTTTACCGTGACGATACACCACTCATCCAATGATATCATAATGTACAGGTGACACCTTATAATACAGTGCTGTTTCAGGGATCATTTCAATGGTAATATGTAATATCACATATTGATGAACCAGTACAAACAACAAAACATGCAAAGTCTGAAAAATGCGGCTTCAAATACTCAGAATCACATTTGTGCCTATAATACTATAAAATTGAATGCAGCATTTTGTTGTACAACTGTACAAGATGTGGATGTGTTAACGCAGTGGTTCAAAAAGTGGGGTCCGGAGACACCCAAGGGGTCCTTGAGGGGGTTCCAGGGGGTCCCCAGCAAAAAGGGGAATTATTATTTTCTCACTATAATTTCATTCATAAGTAACACAATGACAGAATGTATGACTATTTTGGTCCATACACTTTCTGTAAAAAACATCTAAAAGCCAAAATCCTATCAGATCAGTGATCCTGGGACAAAAGCTTATCAAATGGGGGTACTTGGTCTAATTTGTGCCAGTTTAGGGGTCCTTGATGTGAAAAGGTTTGAGAACCACTGTGTTAATGGGCTTGGACTGTATGTATATGCAACAAGCAGCAGAAGTGCCTTTTCAGTTATATAGATGTTTGAAATTTAATCAGTATGCATTCCTGATACCCATGTCGTTGTGCTTAATGGGCTGGAGATAGTAAGCTAAAGTAAGTTATTTTTTATTTCATTTTTATGATTGTTCACTACTTTGAGGAGAAGTTTCCAGACCGTAAACATGCGCTGGTAAAGGTTAAAAGCAGTAATACTTTGGTGTGTCAGGACAGAAGGCCCTCCTCAGTAAATACTGCTTGAAATAAAACATGCACAGGCATCTCAGTATTATACTATAATAACAAGGTATTTTCTCCATAGGTGGATATTGTTCAAGCTAAAATGATTACAGTTGGTTGCACCACTGGGGGAAGACTTAACTGCTGGCTCATGTAGCAGACATGCTCAGTCCTCAAGAAGGTGGTACTGTAGTTGTACAAAGCAGTGAGTGGTGGTGTACTGCACCAGTGTAAACGTATTCCCCACCCTGCTTTAGTGCTGTTTGACTTTAGTGTGTTTTATGTTTATCCCACACCAGAAGATAAGAACAAACAGCTGAAAGTGTCTTAGGAATAAAAAGGAAACATGTCAGAAACACTGAAGGGCAATTATAACTTGCACATGAACAATACTTTAGAGTCCTTTTGCTTGCTTTTTCCAGTCTTTCAACCTCATCTCACCGTCATCAGTGGACAGTTATTTTCTTTTTTTGAGAAAACATCTCACCAAAAGCTTTATTTATTAGCTGTTCTAGAGCGTCTGATCGTATCCTTTGATCTTCATCAGCAGATAGTGCTTGTTGTCATAGGATTGTTAAAGTTACATTTTTTTTCTGTGCTCCAGAACAGCTACTAAAATGACCTGCTGAGGTTGTTTTCTCAACTGCTGCTTCAAATGTCAAGAATTCACTTTCATGCAACATTTTAATCACTGCACTTTTGTATTTATCCTGTGTTGTGGACATATTTTACTTTTTATGTATGTGTCCGCTGTCCAGCACCTATAAAGAATTTGGTGTATCTATAAGATGTAATCGCACCACTACATGTAGAAAAGACAGTTAAAACCAATTAAAATCCAGCAGCAAAGGATTACTGCTGGATTTTAAAGCTAAAAATGCTGGAGGTTGGTACACATCGTGTCTGAAAACTCCTTAAGCATACTAACTATTCAAAAGTGCACAGCGATCATTGGGCTCAATCTATAATGCAGTCAAACCCGAGGAAAACCAACACACAGACTCTGAGCTTTCACACTCAGACTCACAACTACAGGAGGCAGCAGGCTCGGAACATGTTCATCCCTGACGGGGAGGTGATGTGCAGGGAGATGCTTTCGTTGGCCGAGACAAACAGGACGGTTCCCCGCCTCAGCGTGATGTCAGAGAGGGCGGCGGCAGAGGTTGCCGTGGCGTCGCCTTCAATGACCAGGAGGACGCTGGCGCTATCAACTGGAGCAACGGTGTACTGCTTCACCGAGGCTGGGACCTGTAGGAAGGACGAGACACAACAAGGTGAGAATGACTCTGTATGAAACAATTACTTAAAATACAGGTACAGGCCAAGTTCATGTATAACAATTTTATACCTGTGAAATGAAAGTCTGTCTGGAAACCAACTAGTATGTGCAGTTGTGGGGATGTTAAGCTCTCTGCAATGGATTTTTTCACGTCTGACATTTTGACATGTCACAGTAGGAAAGGCACAAGTGTAAATAATTCAATTAATTCCATTTAGCTGTATCGTGGTCCTAGAATTGTATACGGTTTACTGCAGTGGTGGAAGAAGTATTCAGATCTGTAGAATTACTCTGTTAAAGTGAAAGTCTTGCATTCAAAATATATAAGTAAAAGTACCAAAGCTTTAGCATAAAAATGAACTTTAAAAAAAATGAAAGTATTTATAATGCAGAATGTTATTAGTGTGTTGCAGCTGGTGAAGGTGAGGCTGATTTCACCTGATAATTGTGTATCTTGCAGTCATCTATAATAATACATCATAATTTATTAGTTGATTATATTTTGTATTAATATTATGAATCTGCAAAGTAACTAAAGTTATCAAATTAATGTAGTGGAGTGAAGTACAATAGTTCCCTCTGAAATGTAGTATTGTAGAAATTTAAAGTATCAAAAAATATTCAAGTAAAGTACAAGTACCTCAAAATGATTCTTAAATACAATAAGAAGATACTAAGTTACATTCCACCACTAGTTTACTAGGACACTGGATTAAAATATATCCATCGTTAATAATATTAATAACACCTGTGTTTTTCCTACTATGACTAGTTAAAATGTGCGGTGTGAAAAAGGTATATTGGCTGGTGACGTCTGTTTTATATTTTGAACTATAACAATTACTGATACCTAAACATTTAATCACCACCAATATGTAAATGTAAATGCTCCGTACTTGTGTAGTGCCTTTCAAATCTTTTCGACCACTCAAAGCGCTTTTACACTACATCTGCATTCACCAGTCACACACATTCATACACTAAGTGCTCAAACGGAAACACTCACACTCACTCATAAACTGGCGGAATAGCCGCCAGGGGCAATTCGGGGTTCAGTATCTTGGACTCTCTAAGGACACTTCGACACGCAACCAGGGAGAGCCTTCCGGTTAACGGCCAACCCGCTCTACCTCCTGAGCCACAGCCGCCCCTAATATCTGGTCAACAATATTTTACATTTACAGTTTTTACAATTATGAGAAACTCCTCTGATACATGATAAAACAGCAGAAGAGCCACAGGGGGACAATGCAAGATGAACTGTACTTGAGGCGGACATCACATTTTAATCTTGAATGTATTTTCTCTCCACATTATAACTGTCCAACTTTACTTTCAAGGCATACAATGCTTTTTAAAAAAGGTGTGAATGTTCTGTGACACACTGGCCAAATTTGTAAATACACCAATTAACTATTTCTAATAAGGGTTTAGAGATGAATAATAACATCCACTACAAAATGTCTGAGTTTTACTTCTTCTATCACCATTCAGTATACTCATCTAGTCAGCTGACGTTTCCTACCTGTATCCTCATGACAGTGAAGTCTGGCACTGGGGGGTCGTACAGGGACACACAGGGGTCTGAAGCGTCCTGGACACAGGGGAAGATTTTGGAGCTGGCAGGGGCTGGGCTGTAGCTGAGCATCTCACACAACGTGTTAACGTCGATGTATTTCGGTGTAAGACCGGCCCTCACCGTGTTGTCCGAGCAGGCCATACACTCGATACAGTCTAGATGGATGGAGGAACACACATAAAAGGAAAGCAGGTTTTAAATAAGCATAGCAGGCAGTGGACTCTCCTTCAAATGGAAAAATCTATTCTCAGATACTCTTACAATGTTAGATACAATCAGCCTTTCATGTTAAGTATGTAACAGAAGTTATTTTGTCTCCTGCACCGGCCTTATCTACTTTAACAATTAGAACTGCAAGAAGAATGTGGTTGGACAGAAACAGAGATAGCAAAAGCAAGACTGGCTAGTTTTTCCAAAGATAAAGGTGAACTCAACACAACACATCTTTTAGTTGCATTGCATTCTGGTCAGAGGAGATTTCCCTCTGGGTTTTACTTAATGTTGTGTTCAAAGAGAAGCCCTTACTTTATGTTTTAAAGGACTGACACCAAAACTCTGTTTCAGATTCCTGAAAAATTTGTCTTTCAACAGTTGGTGCTTTACTGGAGATATGTGAAGTGACTTCACCAATTTAATTTCTTAGTAATAGATACACACAGACAAACTGAAACGAAAAAAGGAACCATTTCTGCGTGGGTTGTTTAAGGATAACAGTGATGACATTCTATATTTTCCTTATTGTCAGAAAAGACCAAAACCAACAATGAATTGATCCTATTAACGAGTATTGTTAGTGTATCCAAACCATTTAGATCATTCCTCTGTGCCAACTGTGTTGTCCAAAAATGATTAAACACATGAATGAGCCACACTGGGTCATATGTTCCTTCATTCATACCATGAACACACCACACTTTAGGTTATTTAAAATCGATCTCACATACACCGTCACACTGCCGGAAATGCTCACTAGCGCAATCAAATGTGTAATAATAGCCCCCAATGAATGTGCTATTTACTAATTTTTGAGTAATGTTTGCTAAAAACTATACATAAATGACACTATATACTGTACTATACTTTGTGACCCCCTCTTGATGATTTATGTCTTCATTAGATATCAATGGGCTGCCAATGGAGTGCCACAGACAGAGTATTGAGAGACACACTAACACATAGTTGTTTTTTTATCTGTTAAGATTCTCAGTCAACTGGACTCATGTTGAAGTTACTTGAAGACATATTATCCAAGGGACTTCTCAAATACTTTTACATTCTTCCATTCTGCCGAAGTCCAGTTGCCCTTGATTTAACCTTAATTGGATTGTTGGTTTTTGGCTTTTTATGGGATTGGCTGACAATAAGAAAATATAGAATAATGCCAGCCGTTACATGAGCATTGGAGGGACGCAGGAGTGTCAACATTGTAGGCACATTACTGTTTTTCTCAGTCAGCCTGGATAAGATCTACAGCGCTAGATCTCATGAATATAAACAAAAACAATCATATGACCTCCATAAAGGTAAGCGTGAGGCTCGTTGGCTCCTAGGAACATGGCCTGGCCTGGATCCAGGACCATGTGGTTGAGGAAGTAGATGGAGAAGCAGCCGATGTCTCCGGGATACTGCGAGTGGAGGCGGAGCAACAGGTCACCGTTGCTGCTTGATGTGTCCTTCCCTGCTGCACCTGCGTGGGCCATAAACATCCAAAAGTGTGATCATGTTAGTAAAACATGTTTCAGAAATGCTTTGTTTTAAAACTCCCTATTTGTAGGATTAGAAAACGTCTGATTTTGCCACGTCCCAGTGGTAGTATCAAAGAAAGACAGACAGAAAAAGAATGCATAGTGGTACTCCCCCCTATCCTCTATGACTCAGCGACACTTCATGACTTTAACCATGATTGTGTCATTGTTCTACAATCAGAAAGAATCATTTACAAATACACACATAGTAGTAGCTTTAATTCAATGAATGTTGATATAGTGGTATATTTTCACTTATTAAGCATTACATTAACTGCTTCATAAAAAAAAATTTTTTAGGGTGAACTTGTGCTTCAGTAAGAACCACAACTTGGTGGATGATCTTTTTACCAAACGGGTGCATATCTCTCTTTCTAACACTTGCATCAGAGTCCACACTGTTGACTATGATAAAATTAAAGGTTGTTTCCACATATTGAGCAATCCTCTCATGGTCAAATAGATTATAGTAGAGTGCGCAACAAAGAAAAGCACGGGTTCACTCCTACACACATACAATGCAGTGTTTTGCCACCTGGTAATGCTTACTCACAAACCAACTAAACTAACTGAATAAAACCTGTTGTTTTGCATTTTCTTCATGCTGTTGGGAGCTCCAGTAGCTACATCCCTCAGCCTCCTCACCCTCTTCCGTGACTCTCTTGACCAGCATGTTCAGCTGATCTACGAAGACTTTCTTCTCACAGTTCATCATCCTGGTGAAGCACTTCTTCAGCACCTGGCTCGTATGAACCGCATCTCCCATGCTGCACTGCAACTCCTCCGCTGCCTCACTGCCCACCAGAGCACGGAACTCTGGTACAGCTGATGGATGCACATGCACAAGGTATGAATTTATGAACTTTAAAGTACAGTACTTTACCTTCATCCATTATATATAATGCACAGTATATGTATGGGTTTGATACCAAAACCTTCATTTTCTCCAGTAAGTGCGCAAAATCAATCCAAAATCCTCCTCCTGACTTTGGGACTCACATTTAAGGAATCCCAGGATTTCCTCCACTGGTCTGAAGCCACAGAGGCCCTGGAAGCGGGTGAGAGCGATGGCCATCTCCGGCTTGTGGTTGTGGTCTGGATAGTGCTCCGGAAACTGAGCATGGAGACGAGCGGCTAACTCCTGACCAAAACATGACAGAAAAGGAAAAGGGGTACTAAAGAGGGCGAGCAGAGAGTGCATATATAGCATTCTAGTTCACATTAAAGGCCCCGATCAGACAGAAAGCATTTTGCAGGTTCGAAAATGTGAGGCGCACATCAGCTGTCCTGTCTAATCAAAGATTATAGCGCCAGCGATCTATAATCTTTGGTTTGCTGCTAAGTAATAATATAATAATAATAATCTTTATTTGTAGAGCACTTTTCAAAAACAAGTTACAAAGTGCTTCAACAAATAGCCCACCACCACGACCACTGACCCTCGGTTGACTAAAACAATCATATTGAGGCAGACACAGTTCAGCTAGCTGGCTATAGTCATTCATTTGCAACCATGATTCAGTTAAAAACATAAAATATAGATTTGCAGACAAGATCATCATCATCAAGAAAATCATTTAAGATAAAAGTCTTACTTGACAGAGATCTCACATTGAAGAGAGCCATTTTAAATGTGTTTGTTCTGGGTGCTGGAGTTGGTGCAGTTGTCCTAATCCTTATAAGATTACTATGATTTCTGTGTGGGATGTGCACATTTCGGTTTACTGGTCTATGCGTGATGATGACAGGAATAGAAGTCTTTGGAACAGCGCTGGGAGCAGACGGCTTTACATGCCAGCAGGTGGAGACAGTTGTTTGTAGCAATGAGGCAGAGATCTGTTCAGTGACCGGTGGTGTGTCCAGGTCTGCTGTAATAACGGTCATATTAGCAGAAACTTGATCACAACTCACAGGTCTGTGTCTTTTGTTGCTAAAAACATCTGCTTTAAAACGAGACAAAAGGAGGGTACTTGCTCTGGCATTGTTTGAAGGTGAGAGGTGTACAAACACGCAGAAGATGGAGAAACAGAGATCCGTGTGGGTACATGAGACCCTCAAGAAAAAGAGAGAAAGAAAGAGGAGAAACCGCTGGTAGTACCACCAGCTGGGCCAGTAGCTTCGTCTTAATGATGGTCGGTTCAAGGCTTATTTTAGGATGAGTCAGGGACAGTTTGATGCAGTCTCTGGATAATCCAAGCAACTGTAAACTTCCGTCACCCGTCTCTCAATTAATTTGATTGGACAATGGAAAAAAAACGCGAATGACGCGAAGGAGCGGTCTGAGTGCGCTTTACTGCCCAGAGTTGAATTTTTTTTCAATTCTGGGAAGAAAAGCGCACTCAGACCGCTGCTTTGAAAACGCAAGGCACAGCAAGCGCCCAAAACGTGAGGCGCCCAGGAAGCATAAACAGCACACAGAAGGCTCACTGCCAATAGAATACAATTTTAAAAAGGTGCCTCTCACTGGAAAAAATGCTTTCTGTCTGATACGGGCCTTAATCAGCTGTATTCAAACACAGAAAACAACATACTGTTGTATGCACTTCCAAAAATTTCCCAATTCAGAATAATAAAAATAATTTTATGCAGTACACTGTGAAGGAGAGTGTGTTTGTGTACTCACCCTGTTGGGGTGGGCCTGTATGGACAGAGCGGTATTGACAGAGAGGACTTTGAAGAGGAAGGGCAGCTGACCCTGGAAAGTGTCTTTGACCTTGGAGCCCAGGCAGGCAGGGAAGTGGGCGATCCACTGGCCCAGTGTGGTCTGCGCGATCCTGTTGTCTTTAATCTGGGCATCACCTTTTGGGTGGGCACCCATCCACAACTGGAGGAGACACCAGAGATTACTTCAACATCGCATTCAGTGTGTGTAAAAGTGGGACAGTTAATGTGAAACACTTCCTCTTCCTCAACATGAACCAACGATGAGTGCTGAATCCCAATTAAAATTATAATTCATCCCAGAATAAATAAAACTTGATAAATGTAGACATGCAGAAATGTTTTTTTCCTTTATCATCTGTTAATAGGCCTCTTAAAGGGGTCCCAGTTGTTCCCTGGCTCTCTGATGCCTGGTATCATTCATTTAATCAATTTATCTAATGTTATAATCCAAAGTGATTCATAGTCAATGAGAAGGGAGGATTCCTAATCATCTCACACAGTGTAAATCACTTTGGATAAGAGGGCTATTCTAAAGCATTAAATTTAAATGAAGGACTCTGTCTCTCAAGGACACACACTTGTTGGTGGACAAACACAGACTGCAGCAGTGAGGCTCAAACCTGTAACCTTTTTGGTACAGGGTGGTCTCTCTAACCTGTGTCCTGGGTCCTGCCACCCATGTCACAGCCTCAGTACAATTCAAATAACATACAGCCATTGATTACTTTTTTTATAATCACATAGATCACTTATTTGCTCTCAGTCTTGTTCTATTGTATTAACATATTGCTTCTTTTTGAGTAAATTCTGTCATGATGTCTATGAAGATTCTCAGTCATCCAGGTCATAGTTATCCAACGAAGGTTAAAATGAAGGGCAACTGGACTTGGTTGAAGCTACTGGAAGACGTTTCGTCCCTTGCGCTGTACACATTGAAGAGGACAGGAGCCTGCAGATTGGTGTTTACAGAAAACCCACACACACAGACCAATACCTACTCTTCGATTCACACCACCCACTGGAGCACAAGCTAGGGGTCATGAGAACACTGCACCACAGAGCAGAAAACATACCAACAAGCGCCCAAGCCAGAGAGAAGGAACAGAACCACCTGAAGGGGGCACTTACAACCTGTGGATACCCTAAATGGGCTTTTGTGAAGACAGCCACAAAATCCAAGAAGAACAAAACTACAGGGGAGGAAAAGAAGGTCAAACGCAACAACATTGTGATTCCATATGTGTCTGGAGTATCAGAGAAACTCAGAAGGATTTTTAACAAACATAACATCCCTGTGTTTTTTAAACCCAAGAACACACTAAGACAGATGCTGGTACACCCCAAAGACCGCACACCCAAACACAAGAAAAGCAATCTAGTGTATGCGGTCCAATGCAGTGAGGAATGCACAGACCTGTTTATTGGGGAGACTAAACAACCACTACACAAACGCATGGCTCAACACAGAAGGGCCAACTCCTCAGGTCAAGACTCTGCTGTCTACTTACATCTGAAGGACAGAGGACACTCGTTTGAGGACCACCAGGTGCACATTTTAGACAGAGAAGATGGATGGTTTGAAAGAGGTGTCAAGGAAGCCATCTACACCAGGGTTGAGAAGCCGTCATTGAACAGGGGAGGGGGTCTACGCCACCACTTATCCCCCACTTACAATGCTGTCCTTTCATCACTTCCCAGGAAACTCAACAAACGTAACCTATTGGCCTCAGGTGAAGATACCAACGATGGTCGTTCAGTCTTGGCCACAGGTAGTCTCAACGACTGTAACGACTGTCGTCACAGCAACAAGGAACACTAACGAACCAGCGGTATCGATGACCCGAGATAACGACCCCACTGAGGTTAAATAGCTGAGTTTCCCTGCCAGTCAGTCAGAACTGAAGAAGTCCTTTGGATAAGGGACGAAACGTCTTCCAGTAGCTTCAACCAAGTCCAGTTGCCCTTCATTTTAACCTTCGTTGGATTCTGTCATGATGCATATCGAGACATATATTTTAAACTTGTTATCACGGCTAGATTATGTATATTTCCTAAACTAAAATCGAATCAGTTAAAACACTGGAATGTACCTGAACGAATGTATAGACAAATGACAATCGATTGCGATCATTTCTTACCTTACATTAAAACAAAAAAATGTTAGGCTAACATGTAGCCGACGTTTGTCATGGAAATTTGATATTTTACACGTTCTAAACAATAAGTCACATTTTGTTAAGTAGCATTTAACATCCACAGCACCATCTGACTGTAAGCATGAAAGCTAATACAAATCATGGCATGTGGCATTTATGTGTCTTGCAGTATGTGAAAATGTCACGACTGGCATAACCTGAACTAATGACCTTCATGACAGACCCTGCAGGGCTGTTGAAGCTAAATAAGGAAAGACTTATGAAAGGCATGGAGAGAACAAGGCTCTCTGCCAGAACACCGAGCAACAACATGATGCATCTTTGTACTGATTCTGAGGGTGAACAATACTGTAGAGCAAAATTTATAATGTGAGCATAAGCGTTACCATCTCAAAACCTGCTACACATGTAGTTATCTTAACAAACTACACTGAATGAATGAATAACAATTTAATGTCAAATGTTTAAGTGATATTTCAGAAAACTGGAAAGAAAAACACGTACACCCATAAATTATAGTTCTGACACAACTTATAAGGAAGACAACATTTCCGGAGATTTAAAATCCTTCTTTCACAACCTGCAATTTCTAGACATACATTTTATATATCCACTTGTTTGTAAGTAATCTCCAAAAGATACAATACACCCCCGTCTCTGGGTAGCGAGGGTTAAGTGCTCAAGGACCAGTCTAGTGATTTGAAACAGTACCTTCCCAATAATAATCTTACCTCTGCATAAGGCTTGCCATCCTCTATGACAGCTAGTGGGTCTCCACCAACCACTAGTTTGGCCACCTCGCTGTCCTGCCCGACTTTCCCCCACGCATAATTTTGCACGACACAGGTCAGGGGAAACACTGCGGAGGGACCAAATTTAGTGTGTGAATTCTTAAAACAAAAAATGAATACAGAACTGAATCCAGTATATTCTAGGAGGAACTGTAAAGTTCTTTACTTAAGTATAAATTAAGGCACTTGTACTTTACTTGAGTCTTGTCTTTTCATGCCACTACTTCTAATCTGCTACATCTCAGAGGGAAATCTTGTACTTTTAACTTCATTACATTTATCTGACAACTTTAGTCACTAGTTACTTTCCAAAATAAGATTTGTGCATACAAAACATGCAAAGAGCTTATACAGTATTATGTTTTGTGATAAATGAAACTACCCAACAATATATAAAAGTACAGCTGAAACTATCACTCAATTAGCATTGTATTTCAAAAATGTATTGGTAACTATTTTAATAGTTTATGTAATTTTTCATGCAAAAACACGGTTCGAGGTTCACAAATGTGAGGATTTTCTGCTTTTCCTTTTAATTATTTTAATTTATTTTCAATAATCTTGAGGTTTAGACCATTGGTTGGACAACACAAGCATTAATGGAGAAAATAATCAGCAGATTATATCCATAATGAAAATAATTATTAGCCACAGCCCGATACAAAACATTTAAATCGGACGCAACAGTAAAATCCTGCTTCACAGCAGTCACAGGGGATATTTATCTGCATTGAGTTCTTTTACTTTTAGTAAATTGTCCTGATTAAACTTACATACTTTTACTTTTCAATGCAGAAGGTTTACTTTGTTTTTACATTGCGGTATTTGTACTTCTACTTAAATAAAGGATCTGAATACTTTATTGTTTGGACACCACACCACCACTGCCTGTTACAATATGAAATTGTTACCCCATATTGAAAAGAAACAGGAAAAAGCAGACCTTGACCTCCACATAGCATACAGGTTAGATTTTAATAAAGTGGTTTGTGGACGGCTTTGTAGTTCAGTAAGATGTGGCATACTTTGACAAGGAGAAATTATCAAACACAGCCTGTCTAAATATGTAGACTACCCTCATTATAAAACAATAAAACAGTGAAAGCAGATTCCGCAGGGGATGCATTTTCTGGCAGGACACCGGCCAGCTGACGATGCAACGTTCACTGACAGAAACACAGACCGTAAGCAGGTTTACATTTGCGTCTGATGGCCGGTTTGAATTAAATTTACATTAAATTTCGCGTTTGGCTGTAGACAATTTATATTGTGGTGAAAGGGGACGCGCTACATTTACAGTTAGGCTACATGTTATTTCACAGTAGTGCTTACTGCGTTGCTTTAAACAGTAGCGTTACAGTCTTGTCCGCGTCCCATTTACCAAAACACCACGCCGGGGCTGAAATAATCATATGGATGCTCAACAACTCTTTTTTCTATTGTCCAGTCCCATCGTGTGTCTGTAACCTGTATCAGGTACCGTGTAATGTAAATAAACCGTCGCACCAATAGCTGGCTAAATGTTCATCGACGGAACAGGAGATTTTAAACAGATATGAAGGAGAAAGCCTCACTCACCTCTCACTTCCTCCATGGCTGCAACGTCCTCTGTCACAACGCTGCTGACGTCACCACTCGCTTCGTTTTTTTCCAGTTTTGATATAATCGATATTATACACGGTGGTGCAGGAAATACTAATACCACACTGTACAATACAGTACAAGGAAAAGTCCTGCAGTGAAAATTTTATGTCATTTCAAGCATGTAAGTATAGTCAGAACAAAATACTTATTAGAAGTAGAAGCCTACTCAAATTAGATCGATATCCCCCTGTTAAACTGTTAAAGGCGATTGTACGCCTATGTTATTATATTATTATCAATCATGCATTAGGCTAATGTAAAAGCAGGATTTTACTGTTGTGTATTGGTTGAGGTGGTGCTAATTTTTATCTATTTTATATAGGGCTGCAGCTTATCATGATTATTTTCATTATGGATTAATCTGCTGATTGTTTTCTCTATTAAATTTGATAGCTAGGTTTGTAAAAATTCTGATAATAGAATTAAGAAGAAATAAAATTATACAAAAAAATAAATATCATTACAAATCTTTACTTTTGAGAAGCCCTGGAACCATTAAATGTTTTTGCATGAATAGTGACAAAATTCTAAACAGTTGCCAATACATTTTCTGTTAATCGACTAATCATTTCAGTTGTAGCCTACTTGTACATATTGTACATGTACATGTTTTGTTTGCAAAAATCCCAATTCATTATTAAGCTGTCAGATAAAAAGAACAATATTTCCCTCTGAATGTAGTGAAGTAGAAGTATAAAGCCACATGACAGGAAATAGTCATGTGAAACACAAGTAGGCTACTACCTCAGATTTGTACTCAAGTAGTTGTTGGCTACTGCAGCGGGTGATTAAAACTGCTCAGAAGATCATTGGTACCCATCTTCCTGAGTATCAGTGATATCGGTGAGGGTGAGGTAGGTACCTATGCAGTCTCCAAAGGATACCAAAGGACAGTACCCACCCCAGCCACAGCCTGTTCACCCTGCTACCTTCTGGGAAGAGAAACAGATGTTTCAGCTGCCTCACCACCAGACTGCTGAGCAGCTTTTTTCCCCAAGCTATCAGGCTCTTAAGCTCAAATTCATCCTCAGCACTGCTCCATTGAATATAGTTTATTTCTGTTTACCATTTTACAATTGCTTCTAAATGAATGTACATTGTTTGCTACTTCGCAGAAGGGAAACTCAATTTCACTCTATAACTTGTTGTGACAAAATAAATCTATCTACCTACCTAAAATGCTTTTAAAATCTATTTAATTATTAGTAATTATTAGTAATATTTCTTGCAAAAAATATTTGAAGCTGCATCTCTGTGATCAATTGAAAATAAAAGTTTATGTATAGTTTTAACACCAGATGTTTTGATTATTTTAGCCTATGTAAGGTCTACTCTGTTTTTTATTTTTTTATTTATAAATATTACAATTGGTTTTGCTATTTGTTTCTAATACATATTATTATAATTGAAATAGATCTCTGATATTGGAGTGTATTGCCTGTATTGTTCCATATTGTTATTTAGTTTGTTCTGTGTTCAATAAGAGATACAACACATAGCAAAACCATATAGCTCTCTGTGGAAATATCACAGAAATGTAATTTGAGGCGATAATAGATAATGATAAATTCTGTCCTTGGTCACTCAGTACTGAGAACCACACATAAGCTGTCCACATTAACAGCTCCCTGGTTTAAAGGGGTGCTCCTGCAATTTCACATTTCACCTCCATTAAGCTGAGAGACATGCAAGAAACATATTTTAAAAAGAATGCAGCAGAGGTTGAGATATCCTTACTTTTAGTCCTATGAGTCATGTCAAAAATGCTGTATCCTACATTTCCCACAATGCAACCCAGTAGTATCTTTCATCAGGCCATCCTGTTAAATGCCCTCTTCTTTCAAACTCCATGTTGACAAGATGACAAGATCAGCTACAGAAGACTTAACTGTCACTTTAATGTAAGTGAACAAAAATACCAAGTCTTACTCTGTATTCATGTGGTGTCGGAATAATAGGAAAAATTATTTCCCAACTTAAGTCGCAACAACAACTCGGGAAGTCTGACAAAATGTTTGGTTTTCATTTTTAAATATTTTTGCAAATAGAGGAATAACATTGAAATGGGACATAGAGAGGTATACATTAACGGTATTCAAATATAGCCTATATTACATAAAGTTATAAAAAGGGGACCATATGTTGGCAGTTGTCATAGCCTTTTTGAGTCGGAGAAAATGTTGGTACACATGTTGCCAAGTTGTTGACGTCACACATGTAGAAACATGGTGGACAACATGGCTGATGGTTAGACACGTTTGATTAATGGTGCGATATCACGTATTGTGTATACATTTTTTGCTAATTTGTCTTTTATAATGTGGGATTAGGTTATAACTGTTAGTTTTCTGTCCATGTAGAGTGTCCATCCATCCATCCATCCATCGTCAACCGCTTATCCTGCATACGTGGTCGCGAGGGGGGCTGGAGCCAATCCCAGCTGACATCAGGCGCAAGGCGGGGTACACCCTGGACAGGTCGCCAGTCCATTGCAGGGCCCATGTAGAGTGTCCTATATTAATTAGGAAAGTTATTAGCAGTATTTGCAGTACAATATGTTAGTGGTATCAGGTAGGGCTGGGCAATATTTCCAAAAATTTTATTACAATAAAAATATTAATATTGTTCGATATCGATAATTATCACGATAAATGTAAAATCATTATTTCTTTCAAGTTTAAAGGCTGACTTTTGCTACTGAGTAAAAGTTGAAGAAACCAGGTGGTTAATTGTGGTTTTTAAACTATTCTTTATGGTCAGATCTTGACAACCCCAGGCCAAACAATTGATCTACTAGTAAATCTGAGGTTGAACATTGCCTCAACAGAATAAATATCTGAATAGAATGTAATGTAATGTAGTGCTAATTCTTTCAAATCAAATCATTGTTATTCATGAAAATTATATTGTTATATATTATTATTACCCTGCTCTAGCGTCAGTTATTATCCTGGTGCAGTAACAACTCTGGGGCAAAAATCACTTTGTAAAAGAAAGCTACAAACTCAGCATACTTTGATGACAAGGACAACACATCTTACTTCCATGTTGTTTCCACATTCCGATTTGTAAAAGCACATGAACACACCGAAGTCGGAAGAACGACTTCACGACTCGGGCGGACGTAAAATCCCAGGAGCACTTGAATGCAGCATTACTGTTGGTTAGCAATCAGATTGTGGCGCAAGAACTACGATACATGGCGGTGGATTATTATTCAACTTTTGTTGTGACGACACATTAATTTTTAAAGAACATTTTAAATAACGTTAACGTTGTATTATTGATCTGAAATCCACAGGTGGCGCGCTTTGCTTCGTTGTATTTTTATATACGGTCTCACACGTCATTGTCCAGCTGGTTCAGTGCGCATGCGCTGTAAGCTTTAATCGAGGAAGTGGTAGGAGCAGGCAGCTGAAACGACAGAGGAGAGTTTGTTGTTTATTCCCCGTTTCGTAGTGGACAAAACATCACGCAGCCTTTTCAAAATGTCGGAATTTGATAGCAACCCGTTTGCCGACCCTGCCAACGACAATCCTTTTAATGTAAGTGTGTGGTTTTAGATTTTGTTAAGTAACGATAGCTGGTCTGAGCCCGAGGTATCATTTACAAGGTAGCCAGCACGCCAGGAAACTTGTTGGGTGGATGTCGAGGAGGGATTTACTTCTGCTCTCTTGAAAGCCATTTGGCAAAAACAGTAGAATTGACAATCCGTCAACCAATCAGCTGACTGTGTTTGAAAAGGGGGCGGGGTATCCTGTGTGCTTAGTTGCAGGAAGTTAAACTGAAGCCAGCTAGGAATGTGTGTCAAACCTTTTGTAGCCACATCATGACTGTTACTATTCAATCTCAACGGGATTTGTATCATTATGTGGATTTTCTCATCTGTTGGATGTGATTTGATATCATTTTGGAGTCCTGTAATTTCACCTACATTACACAAAGGATCCTCAATTTCAGGCTAGCTATTGTGCCTCCACTGGTGCTGCTGGTTTTTAAGTAACATGATCGGGTCTAGAAGTCTGTTCATTTATTGAATCAGCTTTTCTGTGAACACAACTGGCCTGCTGTGTTCAGTTAATATTGCTCAATGTTCAGAAGTAGGCCATCATCTAACACTTCTTGCTTCCACGTTAAGGTGGCTGACCTAGAAATGGAAGTGTTTCTTCATCTTTATTTGTTTGTTCATGTAACATAGATCTGCAAGTCAGTGAGGTTATGTGAAGTTTGGAAACAGAAGTAAAAGGATATAAAATCTCTACGATTCACCTGAAAAGTAGATTATGGACGCCTTAGATCACAATCTCGATCTAATATCGTCAGATTGCAGAGTACAATCTTATATACATGGTTAAATTAGCCAGTAACTGTTGTTTTAGATGGAATGTTTAATAATTAATGAAATAAAAAAATACATGGGGTTATGCTGTAGATTTCAGAATGTGACTGGTGTTTAAGGGAGAGTGAATTACAGTTTGTCAGAAGTGACATCATTCAACTGCATTAGTCTCTAATGTAAAACGATGTATATTTAACACTAACCTTTGCTGTCATTTAGGATGGGAGAAACGTGTTAACATTTAGAAAAGAGGATGGTGACTGAGGAAATTTAGAGCTCAAAAAACAAACTTTTTCACCACCTTCCCAAAACTCACAAAGGAGAGTGCTAACATTGTTCTACAGCAGTCGCACTGACAAGGCTGACAATTTTTGTTTGTCGGGCTCATGAGTGCAGGCATCGGCCGATCAGTTAATCAATATTCCAGCCTTTCTGTATTTTTTTACAAGTTGTATTATATTGATTATTACTGACATTATGCCAATATGGGTCTTTAAAGGGACACTCCAGTGATTGAGTTCATGGCTCAAGGGCTACAGATTTTTACATTACAGTTAATATATTATATAAATTACTCATTTCATGCTACATAGCAAAATGTATATTCTGTGAAAAGTCTTTTATGATACATTACATAACGCAGTCACTTTTACAGTAGTCCAGAGTCTTTAGAAACTTTATTGCATCAGGTGCACAATGGCCATGACGTCAGTGGAGACCACTGTGTGTTTGCTGGGTGTGGAAGTAGCTGAATAAATATGCTTTCAGCTGTAATATGTTGTCTATGCTTCATTGCAGCAGTTCACTATTAAGCGGTTATATTCTTACAAGCCTGCAGTCTGCAATAACATTCAAATAGTTGATATGTTGCCAACTTTTGAAAGAATTTCAGGAGGGTGAGCACTGAAAAAATTATTGAAAATGTGCACCCTTTGTGACCTTGATCTTGAACATATTGTGCCCCCCACTCCAATCACCTTCAGTGTGCTTTTACAGCCATGTATTTCTAACACCTGGATGCTTTGAGATGTAATATGTTGAGGGATGCTAGTGTATTTAGTAGCAATATCCATATTGCAGTTATGAAATGGGTACAACAGCCACACCTAGGCAATCAAGTGTTATCATAGAAAGTCTTGTTTCCTAGTACAGAGGCTTTAAGGTCACAATATCATGCTGATTTTCTCCCAAGTAGATGTTTACCCTCTTTTTAGGTTAGAATTTGTAACATTTTCCTGACTAATATAGAACTTCATCAATATCAATGCAGAGGTGCTTGTGTGTGTGTTTCCACACCACATTGCTGTTTTTTTAACATCCCGTCATCTTTTTTTGGCTTGTCCCAGCTTAGTCCTTATTTCATACAGGCTAAGTGGTTGTTCAATTTGGTTATAGCTTTGTTCATTCATTGCTGTGTATGCTGTGTCATCAAAAGGCACAAGCAGTCTCTCAGTTGCGACTCTGCAGATAGTTTTCCTGCTGTTACACTGTGGTATGAGGTAAACAAATTTAGCATAATACGCTTTGAATATCTCCAGTAGGCTGTGGAGATCAACAAAGAGTTGTTAAAAACACCATCTGTCAATTCAAGCCTACCCTGGAAAGATGATATTTTTAAAAATGTTACGTATCTCAAGTTGGCAGTTAACAAATAGTCTTATAGGATGTGATTTGTTATATTTTTTTTAACTGTTAAACTGTTAATTGAGCCACATTTTATAGTTGAGGAGTGAAACAGCTCAGATGTCTTGCTGGGAATGTTAACAGGTGTGTCGTAAGCAAATAAGTAACGGTGAATAAGGTCGCACCTTTAGTCACACTGCCAGTAAATGACGGGTTGGGTGATCATGTGAGGTTCTTATTATTTCCTCATACTTTTTTATAAAGGAGAAATTGACACACATTCTAGAAATGGTTGTGACACCAAGCTATTATCTGATTATATTGGTGTTTACATGGCATTACTTAATTGTCACCTCTTTATTATGAAACTATAACCACACTATGACCAAGTGGTATGTAAAGTGCTACCGACACGTTTATTGCATCAGACGGTGGTTTTCAGCTGGTTTCCTCTGCAGAAAACCTAATGACTGGAGGAACAAATGTTTTAACAAATATTCTTCAGTTAGAAAATGGTGTTTCAAATCCAGTGAGGCTTAACGTTTGTTTCATGTCATAGGAGTGCTTTGATTTGGTCAGGGAATGTTTTGGAAAATTCATGGAATTCATCAGCCTTGCAGAATCTGCTTTAGTCACTTTCACTTTTCCAAGTCAGCTGTTGGTGGTTAGGAACAGTTAAATTAATTGTGACGCCTTTGATCATATAGAACCCACTGGTCAATTAATGTTTACTAGTGGTCACGTGCCGGACTGCTGTTAAGAAGTGAGTCCTTCCCAGTTAATGATTCATCAATACCTTTTAGAGGTTATGCATCAATAGCTGGATTTTATTGTACTTCACTTTATGACTCGGTCAAAGCATGGTACCAGATTTCATAGTCTTGGCTGACTTTTTTTTTTTAGTTTGTCTTCAGTGTTTTCGGGAAATGAAAGTTCCTGAGGATGAGTTCTTCTCAGCAGAAGATAAACAGCAATAAATATTTGTGTGTGTGTGTGTGTTTTTCAGAGGTCAGATATCAAGAGCCAAGATTAGTGTGTGTTTGAACAAACCCACAGGTCTTACTATACTGTTATATCCACTTCAGTGCAAAGAAGTGCAGTTCTATAACTGCACTGATCTGATCTGTTGCTAACCCATCACCAAACCCCACCTTGGGCTGGCCTAATGGTCCGAGACACTGTCTGTATTAGTGTCTTTGACAATCTAAAGTAGAGTAAAACAGAAGTCAAGCAATTAAGAATTTATTTAGTAAAAGTCTCTGTTTCTGTGTGATTCGCTGAGTGACTCATGTTTTGTTGTTTTCCAGGACCCTTCCGTCACACAAGTGACCAGCTCCGGCGTGGAACCAGTTGACCAGTACAACCCTTTTCCTGCCCATCCCACAGTAAGCCACCTGAAATCTTTTATTATCTTCTTGTTTGTTCCTTTTTCTTCTCCACGGTCATCTTTAGTTTGGCTTTTTCTCCTCATCCTCCTTTGACCTGTCTCACTTGTCTTTTCTGGCCTTTTGTCTTTTATTTTTTCTTACTTCTCCTCTTATTTAATATTTAAGGCCATACCCTTCTTGCTGTTTTGCCGGTATGTTTTGGTCTCCTCTTCCTTGTTAATTTCCTCCTTTACTTTTTGTTGTTCTTCCCATCCTCCTGCTTCCACTTACTCTCCTTACCTTTCATTTCCTTGTCATCCATCACTTTCTTGTTTGTATTGTATTGCTGTCTCATCATTGTACTTTTCCTCACAATCAATTAATTTGTTTGCTTTTTATTACTTTACAGGACAATCTAGCTAGTCATACCACTCCAGCCTCCACCACTGCCTACCAGCCTGCTGTGTTACAGCCGTCTACAGAGCCCAGTCCACAGGTAAGTCAGCCATACTGAATCTCTCTGTGTCTGCCCAACCCTCCACTTATCTGCTGCTGTTGACATAGATTGAGGGACAGTACTTCCTTGGATACAGTTCCAATATATGTGTGCGAAATATACTTGTTTGCAGCTATGCTACTATTCACACAATTGGTACAGCTGTATGCCTAATTTCTACACAAAATAAATCCAGTACACCCAACACAAAACATGATTAACCCACAAGAGCACACAGTAACAAGTAGAGGAGTGTACAAGGTGACAAAACAAACAGAAAATCAAAAGAAAGCTAAATAAATTCACCAAATTTGGGAAAAAACAAACATAAATACACAGCCCTTCCCAGTAGCCATTCTTGACCGATCCTCTACCAGTTCCTATTTACTTTTTAATTTTTTTTTACTGGAGTTGAAGGTGAGGGGATGGTGTGAAGTTAATTCCCATCAAAAGAAATGTTCAAGCCTGATTTTGCCAACAATGATAGTAGATATAATATTTTGAGGGAGTCTGGAAGACTGGAGAAAAACAACACCTGAATCAGAATTCAGTCTGTTGATTTCCTCTCAGCATCTCTCTAATGAAACTAGATATTGGACTTCCTCACAAATAGATCCCAGACAGTTCGGATTGGTGGTCGCACAGAAATGGCTGTATTTCTTAAGGGAACTTGAGAAGGCAAAATTCCCTAGCCAAATTCTTGTTAACTTTTACAGAGGAACAATAGCAAGCATCCAGACTGGAAACATTACAAACTGGCATAGTGTGTGCACCGGCTATGCAGCGGGTGATTAAAACCACTCAGAAGATCGGTGGTACCCATCTACTGAGCATCAGTGATATTTGTGAGGTGAGGTGTGTGCGCAGAGCCCAAATTATATTCAAAGACAGTACCTACCTAAGCCACAGCCCGTTCACCCTGCTGCCTTCTGGAAAGAAATTCAGAACTATCTGCTGTTGTACCACCAGACTTCAGAGCAGCTTCTTCCCTCAGGCTGTGAGACTCCTAAATTAATCCTCAGCACTCCAACATGTAAAATATTTTCATTTTTATGACTTACTATAATCACCCATCTCCTGTATATAATTTATGCATAACATTTGTTTTTAGAGTAGCATAAAGAGAACTTACAACTGAATATCATTATACAACGCTGTAAAATGTAAAATGATAAATAAATCTACCTTGAAATGTGTTCAGCATTAAACAATACTGGGTCTAATGGCGGCACTGTAATTAAAGATGCTACATCTTGGTTAAATGTTAACAACTAAAAGGCATAACAGACTAACCACATCCTTGTTTTAAGAAACCTGGAGAGATACTGTATGGTATTGGTGGCACAAGGCACAAAACACATTATTATGGTTGTCATGTTTAGTAAACATAAGAATAAGAAACTCCAACAACATCTGAGACACAGTGGTCTGAATATAACTTTTAGCCAATATTTTGCCTATTTTAGACAAGGTGTAAGATCTATAATAACCGGACAGTTAAAGAGCTAACCAACCATTCTGCCTCGCTGTACTGGCTATAAAAAAACATCTTCTCAGTTTACACATTATAATGAGCCTCCTTGCTTTACTGATAATTGTCATAAATATTCATGAAATGCACTACAGATCACCTGTGTCCTTCCTTTTTCTGCCAAGTCAGAGTGTTATGGTGATCATAAATATGTATTTCTGGCCTTACATACAGTATCGTGGCCTTTTAATACAAGCATGCCTTTAAAAACACTTGTAATGCCCAGAATGGCTCGCCTTTATGTTGTATTTTATATGTCAAATATAATGCAGGCTGATATGTATAGTGAATCATTTTGCATGGTTGCCTTGCAGTTTGTGTAAGGTCCTGCTGTATCTGTACCAATTTGTATGTAATGTGAAACTCCTGAGAGTTGCTGACGTGTCTCTGGCCTAATGTCCCCAAGATACATTCCTGTACATTCACTGTGTTTGTTGAGTAAAGTGTTTCTGACTCTCCTTTTTCCAGGCAACTGCTGCTGCAGCTCAGGCCAATCTGCTGAGGCAGCAGGAGGAGCTGGAGAGAAAAGCTGCTGAGCTGGACCGCAGAGAGCAGGAGCTACAGAGCAGAGGCCCGACAGGTCAGTAAAGACAAAACCTCTCCTCCTCTCCTCCACTCCTCTCTGCAGTACTATCAGAAGCAGCACAACTTAATGAGCCAGGAAAACAATATGCAATGTGTGCGTTATGAATCGGAGAGAAGAATACAAAACGCATCCTTGCACACAGGCTGTGACAAATAGTGGTGGGGAAAAATTGATTCACGTTAGATTTGCGATTCTGATTCCAAAAAATATTTAGTATAGTTTTCTTTTTGATGCTGGCAATGTTGACTTGCAATGCGTCCTCTCAGGCTTCTGTAAAACACAGTTTCATCGAGTAGTGTGGCTGGCTACTGACTAGTCAATTGCAGTTAACGTTAGCTCTGAGTCATATACTGATAATCATACAAATAACACAAAAATATGCTGGTAGCACCCATGGACAACTACACATGTTGTATCACTTTTCAGCTTTGTTTTATATGTGTTTACAACTTTATGTTGTTTGAGTTAATGTTGACTATTGCATTGGCCTCCATGAGCAGTATGTTTACCCTGCTATTGTGCTGAATCAGTTTGTCAGTTAAACACAGATTATTGATCATGACAGAACTACAAAATTGGGGTCATGATTCTTAGTTAAAGTTACTTATCAAGTGAAAATACCAAACATCTGCAGGTTACAGCTTCTCAAACGCAAAGATTTGCTTTTATCTTTGTTCATTTAATACCAGTACATTTTTCTTTGACTGTAAATCAGACGATTTCAGAACTTCCCTTCATCATTTTAGACCGGAGTTGATGGATATCCTTATATATAAAAAATAATTATTAAATGTAATGTTATGTACAGATGTGTGTGCGCTTCACTAGATGGAGGGAACAGTATCTAGCTTAGATACATCAGGTGTGTGAGCAGCGCTGTATAGTGTTAGTCCAGAGCCAACCAAGTCTAAATATACATGCACATGCTGTACTTAAACTTCTTAAATATGACGCATAAGATATCTTATCTAGGTCTGGACGATATGGCCAAAAATGTTATCACGATAAAAACATTTCATATCGTTCGATATCAATAATTATTTCTTTCAAGTTTAAAGGCAGATTTTTGCCCCTGAATGAAAATTGAAGGCCAGATGGTTAGTTGTGTGGTTAAACTACTCTTTATGGTCAGAACGTGAGAAACACTATGATAAAATCTGTTTTCAAAAAACATGATTAATAGCTCCTTTTTTTCCAGTCCCTTTGCCTCAGCAAAATAAACCTTAATATTAACCTAAATTAAGTGCTAATTTGTTCGTGATTCTAATAAATTAAATCAAATATTTATATTTACGATATATTTAACATTTGTTATATTGTTATTGAGGAAAATTATATTGCGATAATTATTCATAATAATCATTATTGTTATATTGCCAGCCCAAATCTTATCTAATTGCTGCAATGTCTGCTTCAAAGTGAACTGTATTTAACCTGCAGTGTGGGAAATATAAATAATATATAAATAAGCTGTGTTCACTTAGTACAGTGAATTCCCCTATGTTACTGTCAATATGATATTCTTTTTATTGTGTGAATAATGAGGAGACATGCTGAAATTGTAATTGGATTGCCATATGGACTGACACACAAGTATATTTATAATGTGTTCTGAAGGGAAACATTTCTTTCATTTTAAAAAATGTCAGAATCGGAATGTGAATTGATTAATGTGTCCGTATTTTAAAAATAACCACAGATACCCTGTTCCAACGTTCAAATTCAGATTTACTTTTTTTAGGCAACACATTCTAAACCTTCTCTTGTGGCAGTAGTGAAAATTATGTTTTAGAGAGAAGCGCTTCCTTTTTAACAAGGTACATGTTGTCTGTTGTCTTGACAGGTAAAGAAAACAACTGGCCTCCACTTCCCAAGAGCTTCCCCATCAAACCGTGTTTCTATCAGGACTTCTCAGAGGAAATCCCACCAGAGTACCAGAGAGTCTGCAAGATGATGTATTATCTCTGGATGTGTAAGTATGTGGAAGTACATAAAAATGATAGGTGTTCACGTGTGCATTGGGGCTGAAATGTAAACAGAACAGGGCTACCACCATCAGTCCAACAACTAGTGACTGCACATGTATTTGCGCCTTATTAAACTGAAAAAACCCGAACTGAATTTAAGTTTGTCTCTTTCACAGAGCTAAGGCTATCTTAATTGTCTTGTTAACTCATTGAACACACAAACAAACACACTTCATTCAAACTCCACAGAAACAAAACCATCGTGGTTAGTCTGTCCACTGTTACAACAGTCACCAACTCTGGTTTGTTGGAAATAAACCCTTAATTAACAGAATTAGATGTGAAAATATTCTGGCTCTACTGGCTGTTTTTCCCTGCTGTCTCTCTCTCTGCCAGTGCTGGCCTCTTTGTACTGGGTTAGCTCGCTGAAAGAGAGTCTGTTGCTTAGTAGTGGCCCTCAAAAATGCCCAAAAAACCCAAATGATTGCTAATATAGTCATCTAATTGTTCCAACCCCATGTGTAGGATTGTTTTCAACTGTTATATAAACATTTCTAATAACACCAGGGCATTGTAAAGTCCAAAAGCCAAAAATATAATGTAATCATTTTCAAAATTCACAACATGTTTGTACCTGACGAAATATTCTGCTTCAATCCATATTTGTTTGGCATTTAGCCTTTCACAAAACTCTCCCCTTGCCGCACACAAAGGAAAGCACGCTCTTGTATTAACAGGGTGGTCTAGCAGCAATAAAACAGCACCATAACTGACGACAAGTTATATTCATTAAAGAAAGTTGATTTAATAAAAACTAACTCTCAATGATGAATCAGTTTATTCAAATTGAGGATTTTGAGTATAGTTAAGGGTGATGACATAATAAAATATGATGACAGACATTCAAAGGTTCATTTGAAAATCTCAGTAGAAGCTTTAAATGGAAAAAAAGACATTTGGTACAGCACCAAGTAGGCTAATTGCATATTAGACACAGTACACTAGGCTAGATAATGTCGTACTTGCTACAATGACTTCTATCACCTGCAGCATTGTTCTTCTTTTTTTTTCTTTCTTCTTTTACACATATATACCGTCATATACCGTATACCCAGTGAAATGTCATGCATGGGATTACGCACGTACGGGATCACTTTGGATAAAAGCGTTGGCTAAATGAATAAATGTAAATGTCAGGAAGGTATGAAAAAACAGATACCGCCCAAGCCTAACACACAGTACAGGTGCTGGTCATATAATTAGAATATCATCAAAAAGTTGATTTATTTCAGTAATTCCATTCAAAAAGTGAAACTTGTATAATGTATACATTCATTCCACACAGACTGATATATTTCAAGTGTTCATTCCTTTTAATTTTTATGATTATAACTGACAACTAATGAAAACCCCAAAATCAGTATCTCAGAAAATTAGAATATTGTGAAAAGGTTCAATATTTAAGACACCTGGTGCCACACTCTAATCAGCTAATTGACTCAAAACACCTGCAAAGGCCTTTAAATGGTCTCTCAGGCTAGTTCTGTAGGCTACACTGACTGCTGACTTGACAGCTGTCCGAAAGACGACCATTGACACCTTGCACAAGGAGGGCAAGACACAAAAGGTCATTGCTAAAGAGGCTGGCTGTTCACAGAGCTCTGTGTCCAAGCACATTAATAGAGAGGCGAAGGGAAGGAAAAGGTGTGGTAGAAAAAAGTGTACAAGCAATAGGGATAACCGCACCCTGGAGAGGATTGTGAAACAATCAACACAGTAATAGAGCACTTCATGCTTCCTGCTGCTGACCAACTTTATGGAGATGCAGATTTCATTTTCCAACAGGACATGGCACCTGCACACAGTGTCAAAGCTACCAGTACCTGGTTTAAGGACCATGGTAGCCCTGTTCTTAATTGGCCAGCAAACTCGCCTGACCTTAACCCTGTAGAAAATCTTTGGGGTATTGTGAAGAGGAAGATTCGATATGCCAGACCCAACAATGCAGAAGAACTGAAGGCCACTATCAGAGCAACCTGGGCTCTCAGAACACCTGAGTAGTGCCACAGACTGATTGACTCCATGCCACGCCGCATTGCTGCAGTAATTCAGGCAAAAGGAGCCCCAACTAAGTGTTGAGTGCTGTACATGCTCATGCTTTTCATGGTCATACTTTTCAGTTGGCCAACATTTCTAAAAATCCTTTTTTTGTATTGGTCTTAAGTAATATTCTAATTTTCGGAGATACTGAATTTGGGATTTTCCTTAGTTGTCAGTTTAATCATCACAATTAAATGAAATAAACATTTGAAATATATCAGTCTGTGTGTAATGAATGAATATAATATCCAAGTTTCACTTTTTGAATGGAATTACTGAAATAAATCAAATGACCAGCACCTGTATTTTAAAACTTTAATGTATTTGGCTCCTCTGAAATACATGAATACTAAAACTTTTTTTTACCAACATTAGTTTCAGTAAACAGTACTGGTGTACATAACAGACAAACAATTACTATAATATTATTACAGGTTGTATTGTATTTACAGTAGATGTATGGTGATAACGGTAACATTTTCATTGATTCTTGTCTCTATCCACTGTTTATTCAGTCAACTGTATGACTCTGTTCCTCAACCTGCTGGCGTGTTTGGCTTACTTCACCACTGATGCGTCCTATGGTGTGGATTTTGGCCTCTCCATCCTCTGGCTCATCCTCTTCGCTCCCTGCTCCTTGCTCTGCTGGTACCGGCCCGTCTACAAGGCCTTCAAGTGAGTCTCCTCCTCCTAATGCCCTGAAGAAAAAGTTGTCACTTTTATTTTGAAATTATCAGCGAACATTTTGAGTGAAATGCATGTCTTTTCTCATTTTTAGGACTGACAGCTCCTTCAGCTTCTTCTTTTTCTTCTTTGTGTTTTTCTGCCAAGTGGTAGTCTTCATCATCCAGTCTGTAGGAATCCCCAGGTGGGGGAACAGGTGAGTCACACTTTGAGTCATTTTGACACATTTGGGGGGGGGGGGGTAAATAAATTGGTTCGGATCGTGTCTTCAGTGATCATTGAAGTATCAAAAATATGCTCAGAAATATGGGCGTGGTAGGTACATTTTGGTCAAATATATGGCACATTGAAGTGTAGCGTGGGTCCCAAGTTCAGGCAGCACGTGTCTGAAAAATGTCTAAATATAATTCCCATTAATTTAATTTGTTTTGGCCACAAAATCATGATAAACTTTGTACGATTGTAACTAACAGTGGTTTGAAATTTTAAAAAAATCAAACAATGTTATGACATAATGACCTTACAGAATGTTATTGCACAAATCTTACTGTAAAAAATTAACAATCAAAATAAAACATGACTATGAACTGTGAATTTATTCACACTTAAATTGGTGCCGTTTTCATTAAATAATAGCTAATCTGAACCTGTGAATAACAAATTAACTTGATTAATTGGTGAATTCACCATTCCTCCGGATTGATGTAAAAAAGTTTTCCGTACTTGTGATTTCTTACCTTTAGTATCAGAAGATCTACCAATCAGCTGACCTATCAGCTGCTGTCCTCCCCCCTTCTCATTTTCTGCATTCTTTCATCTCTTCTGACAGAGATTTTCCATCCTTCAGCCTCTAGCCTGCTGCCTCTCTGTCTGCTGGTAACTCTGTAAGTTTCTGCTGCTCACTGTCTCTGCTACGTTCTGCCAACACTCACTCTCTTTCTTGCTTTGTCTAGAGATGTGCCGGTATACCAGTCTGACTATATACCGTGGTGAAAGATTCTGATGGTAACAATACTGCCAGCAATTTGTAATACCCTGATTAACAATGTTTTCAGAGGTCACCATGAGCACAGCACAGTGCTCCTGTTCTCATTAGCGGTTTGATTTGATTGATCGATTTATTGGCATAAATGCATAACAACAATATTGCCAAAGCCACATATAAATTACATTAGAACAATTAGTTTCATACATTTCAAACAATTAATTTGTGTGTGTGTGTGTGTGTGTGTGTGTGTGTGTGTTATTATAATAATGTATTAAAAATTAAAACAAAATAAATGGCCTGCGACCCTGTACGCAGGAGAAGCGGTTGACGATGGATGAATGGATAAAATATATAGATAAAACCGAGATGACTCCCTATGTTTAACCACAAGGGAGCGCCATTCTACTTGGAGGACCACACTACTCTGGCCATGACTTGCTACGCTAACATTAGCTAGTTGATCTTTGGTTTATGGGTACAGAGTTGTAACGTTTTGGTATTAGCTCGTAGTAATGCGGGCATGGTGTGCAGACGGTGGGTGGTGTTAGTGGCCTGCGAGAGAAGGTTTTGCTTCTGCCTTCTTAAAAATGAACTACAGTATGAACACCCAGCAGGTAACACTTACTTTAAAGTTCTTGCACTCCACAAACTCTTATTGACTGGTGCGTCCGACCATAAACTACATTCTGCTGATGCTGGTTAATTAACTCTTATGAGAAAAGAGAGCTTTCGCTGTTAAAGCGCCCCTTCTTTTGAATACTCTCCCTATGCAAATTGAGGAGGCAGGCTCTATTAAACCCATCTTGTCCATTATGATCTGGCCTCTCCTAGTTTCACTTGTTTACCACAGTTGTGGTATTGCTGCTACAGTATATGAATTTTTTCAAATGTCTTAACCTCAGTCTATACGTTGTTGTTGTGTGCAGAGACTCAGATTTTCACTTTAAATAAACTGAAGATGGAAGAGCTCTTTGCTTTCAAAATGGCACTTTCCAGAATGACTCTTGTCCAAGTGGCTCTTCATTTCCCCCTTTTCCATTTCATCATGGCCAACAGACACAGTCAAGGGGACTCTTGTTTTGTAGCTCTCCCAATGCAGATGAGAAGCAAATCAGCCCAATTATAACAAATTCTGAAAACAACAAAGGCACTTTAGAATTTAATATGAAAATATGCCCACACTTTGAAATGTGTTTTATTTGATCTTTTAGAGCACACATTCATCTTGTAATAATACCACTTGTATTATGTTCATTATAATGACATGAATGATTAAAGAAAAGTAAAATATGATTGGTAACCTACATTCTGCTTCTTCTTGTATCTTCTCAGCTTTTCATGGTGCTTCATCAGCACATTCTTCTTCTCTCCCTAAATATAACCCAACTCTCGTTTACAATCTGTGTGTGTACTGAATTTACTTGTATACAAATGTTTCATACTGTTTTATTGAAGTTGTTTGTTAGATCACCTGAAACTTAATGATGTTTGTTGACTACAGTGGTTGGATCGCTGCCTTCACCGTCATCAGAACAAACAAGGCAGTAGGAGCCATCATGATCATAGTGGCCATCCTCTTCACCATCTGCGCTGTGCTGTCTGTCATCCTGCTCAAGATGGTGAGAGTCACTTTTCTTAATATTTGTAGGTTAGCAGCTTTGCCCTTTGAGTAATCTGTGCTTTTACTTGTGAGGGGGAATTAAATTTGGAATTGTGATGCCAGCAGGTCTTTAGATGTGGCTAAAGATGTGAGCATAGACGTGAGGCTTCGATGAGAAGTTTCAAGGTCCAAAAATCCCAGCCGCAGGCATATAAATTGTTGAGTTTCTAATATCAGTTAACATCACTGTACGTTTGCCCACTGACAAAGAAAGAGTGTGCTCCTAACCTCAGCTCGTTACCTGTATAAAAGACAGGTTCTGATTGAGAGGGGATCAGATACTTATTTCACTCACTAAAATGAAATAAAATTTTATATATAAATAAAAAATATATAAATAATAAAATAATATAATATAATAAAATTTTTGACAGACATTTATCTAGATTTTTTTTCTTATTCTGTCTCTCACTGTTCAAATATATCTAACACAAAAATTATAGACTGATAATTTCTTTGTCAGTGGGCAAACGTACAAAATCAGCAGGGGATCAAATAATTTCCCCCCCCGCTGTAAGTCATGGTCATTATGTGCTACGGCTAGTAAATGTACACTTAATGTAGCTTTGAACTGTTTGTTGCTGTTAAAACAAATGCAGAAGTTGATCATGGGTGAATGAAACTGTATTGTTGTGCTGTATGTCAAATTGCCTCACCACTGTGGCCCAGGCAAGCCATTTGCTCACAATCACTTTCTCTTCAGGTCCACAGCATGTACCGCCGGACTGGAGCCAGTTTCCAGAAGGCCCAGCAGGAATTCTCACAGGGCGTCTTCACCAATAAAACCTTCCAAACAGCTGCAGCTGGTGCAGCATCCTCCGCTGCCCAGGGAGCCTTCCGGGGAAACAACTAAGGGTAGACTGAGCTAAGCTAAGCTCCATTTAACAGGTCAAGGTCTATATGTTATCAGGTCTAGATGATTAAGTTCATTGAGGTTGAAGGTTCATTGAGAACTTGTTGGTTGGCACCAAAGTTGCATTAAGTTATTGTGACTCTGGAAACAACTCCTGCATTTTGGAGCCAGCAGCTGTAAGTTATAATCTATCCTTATAATATATAGACCTTGAGCTAGGCTACATTATTAGCCTCCCTCCTTTCACCCCTACTGTCAATGTACATGTAATTCCCCACATTTGCTTTTCACATTCAGCATGTCTCCTGCAGAGTCGTCTGGCTCTGTTTGGATATAAAAAGCAGCCGAGGGGAAAGTCTCACAACAAGTGCATTCTGGGGTGGAAAGCATGAATGAAGTTGACTGATTGCTATTTCATTGTGTCCTGGCTTTGTATATTTTGTTTGCACTTTTGGCTCTTCAGTGTGTGTGTGTGTGTGTGTGTGTGTGTGTGTGTGTGTGTGTGTGTGTGTGTGTGTGTGTGTGTGTGTGTGTGTGTGTGTGTGTGTGTGTGTGTGTGTGTGTGTGTGTGTGTGTGTGTGTGTGTGTGTATATGCGTGTGTGTGTGTGCGTGCATGTGTACTGGCATGCTGATCACGTGTACTCATTTGGGTGCAGTACGCTTTTTTTTTTTCTCCACACCAATGGTGGGTCCTGTAATAAATGACATAAAGTGTTTCTGTTTGGCATTGATTGGCATTTTTTCTGTGTCAAAAGCATTTCTTCTAAGTTTTATTTTTTTGGAAAACCATCTCTTTTTGTGTGGTGCAAATTTAAGTCTAATAAGGAAGAAAAGCAACTGTAATAAATAATTTAGTTAATTGTCTGGCATTAGATTTTGCTCTTACTGTAAGTAATGAATTAAATCTGTGGTCAATTATTCAAGGAAAGGAAAAACAATAAGAATTCTCAGACTAACCCCCACATCACCTTCAGATTGTGATGCTATGTTTTCAAAACGTTTGCTTTTGACTTTTGTCTGGAACCAAAGTTTTGGTAAGCTCTTTCTGAATAACCTGTGATGTCAGAAAATGGAAATACTGTATATTTTGGTATTTGGTATCCAGATGATGGGTTCTGCATAAAGATCACATCCACAGAGGAAATCAAAGGGTTTTGCTTCAGTTTATTTCATAAAAATTTAAGAATACAGAGAGAATGCAATTTCATTTGACTTTCACTGTCATCATTAGAATATTTATGAAACAGCTTTAACTACATCTTTGATCACTGCCGTGTTCAAGTGTTATTTCTAAGTAAACCAAAGCAATACTGACTGTAAAAATGGAAAAAATGATGTGCTAATAAAATAAATAACCCAAGCAGATTGACAGCGGTTCAAACAGTAAATGCATGTGAAGGAATGGTTTATTTTTTTAAGAAGATTAACTGTAGAAATGTAAGTGTACTCAGCCAGTGTAAATCTTGCAGAATAATCAGAAAAGATCTCAGAGTCTCAGATTTCACGGCTCTCTAATGAGGTGTGATGGTCACAGGTAGACAAGAGAATCCCAGATTTCCCTGATGTGTATCTCATTTGTAATTTCTACTAAACTTGCCATAACACTTACCTTCTAAAGCATCACCAGTATGCAGTGAAGGTATTACAGTTTCATCTTTTCTCATTGATGGGTTAATTCTCCTTCCTGTACCTCTCTACCACCAAGCTCTAAATTATTTGTTTATGGATGTATATTTTCTATTTGTGATTTCTTATATTGAAACATGTATGTGTGTTTATCTGATGTTTTAAAGCATCAGTTTGGATGTAACATGTTAGCATTCCTAAAGAACAACTGCAAACCATAATTTGTGTGATATTCTTGCAGGTTAACAGGTTCGATCTTACATCCATTGTAAAACACACAATTTGTATTCATTGACACATCTCTGTATGCATTGTTTTGGGAGAAAGTAATTCAGAGCCTTTTGTATTTCAATATTGAATATAGCGTCTAATAAAATGCTTTGCTGTCATTTAAAGCTGTAATGTTTTCTTCCTCATAGTTTTTGATGATGTTATGAAAGTTTTACTAAAATTGTGAACATATACACATAATTTAACTTTTGTTGGTGAACCCTTGTTTGTCATTTGTGCACAGGTGATATAATTAATCTGTTCTCATAAACATCCACTCTGTTTACCTTGAATTAAAAGGCCTATGAGGAGTGCCATCACACCTGTGTGCTGTCTGGACTGGTCCCACTAATGTTGCTGCTGGAATGCAATAAAGTCCGGCTGCAGACTGTTGCACCGCTCAGCCAGATGCATAAATTTCATTTTGTACACGCGCACATGCGTTTGAGCCATGGTATGAGCGCATGTTCACACGCGATGTAGTTTTGTGGCAAGAAACCAAGACCAAAACAGACCGAGAAGCACTGCTCAACTGGGTTAGAAAGACAGACAGACAGCGATTCACTGCAGCTACACATGCTGCTCACATCAGACTTTGAGAGGAGAGAACACAAGTCATTGAGGTTTTTCTCTTCTTATGCACAGGATAGTCCCTCTTAGTCCTCTCATCAACGTTGTAACACTAGCTTTCAACACTGACTCATTGTTTGCGACGTTTCATATGGTAACAAAGTGCAGTTTCACATCAACCTATAGTTTTATTTTGAAATTGTAACCAGACATTGCATATATATTATTGCAAACTTGACCAGACATTGCAGATGTTGCCAATTATTGCTAGCTTGAACGCAGAGCCCCACACGTCTGACGCCACGGGTTCTCAACAATTTCACTGGGGCACAGCACATGGATGCAGGGGCACGTGCCCCTGTAAAAAGGGTCTAGAGACGCCTGTGTAACAGTATCATAGATTCTCCACAATGAGGAGCTGTTTGGTCACTGTCAGGTCATCATACCAACCTGCACCATCTACAGGAATAGTTCCCAACCTGTGTGTTGAGCCCAAAACAATGGGGCGTAAATTAAACCTGAAGGGGCACAAAATGACTAACAGGGAAAGCAGAAAAGAAAGAGGAAACTCCTGCCCTTACCCAGAACACTTTAATTCAATTAAACAATAGCTAATCATACTGTAGACAGCATACTCATCAATAGCCGAAGGCCATTTTCTCATCTTTGATAGCAAGTCTGACACTTTTGTCTGTTTCCTCCTCCTCTCTATTTTAGGAAGGACAGAAGAGACTGGACACAAAGCAGAGGAGAGAGGGAGACCTTTGTGACCACTCTGTGTCTGCAGTGACCCAGGCAGTCTGTGGGGAATCACCCAAAATGCTGCTTCTTCTGTCTGTCTGGCTGTCACTCTGCCGGTGTTTCTTTCTCCAGGCTCTGTCTGTCACTCTGTCTGGAGCTCAGAATAACTGCAGCCACTTCCCATCAAACACAGCCATCAGCAACTGGGCCAGACAGGCCAGCTACCTGGGCAGACAGTTTCTTCTCTGCACCTTTAAAAAGTCAGGGACAGTAACATGTTGAAAGAGACAGAATGAGCAGTCAGAGATTTTTTGTTAGTTGGTTAATTTTTTTTATACTTATGACACAAATGTGCTATATTATTAGTTTATGTTTTTAAACTAAGGTTTCCCTTTAATAATATATATTGTAAAAAGTGAATGCTACACAAAAATGTTTTGCTGAGATAGTTCAAGTAATGACAGGGAAAGATCACATCCCAGTGGTTTATCTTGATCGTACTACACTAATTACCTAACGATCTAATTAACAACACCTGGGTTTCCCTAACAAACCAGAACCCACCAAAACCCTTCCTGATCCCTCTTTCCACACTCACACTCTTTCTATGGAATAAATATGATCAGTAAACCTCAAACCATACTATTTAATTTTGCAGTGTTCAGCACTCCCACTAGGATGGGATGGCCCATAAAGGTACAACTCCACATCCTGCAAACTGCTCGTTTTGTAGATCTGCTTTATAGTATGCGAATGATGACACTATTATTACTGCCAGCCAAAGTTAAACAATTAAATTTCTTCTTGCCTAGTAAATGGGATCAACAGGTAAGTTTGTTTCCAGACCCTTGCACTAGATAAAAATGACCTAAAGACAATCATTAAGTTTCTCAGAGAGGCCTTCAAATCGTCCAAAGTCATTTTAAAATCAGTTAAAGGCACATCTTGTATTTCATTTATTAAAAGCATAGTGTGTCAACCCCTCCCAGCCACTAGGTGTGCAGTGTCCATTTCTTGTCTTGCAGGATGTGGGTCTAGGAGGAGGTCATCAGCTGTATGAGCTACACCTGGGCCCTGTGTGGTAGGGAGCTAAAAAGCTCTCCACCTTTATGTCTTACTCCCTTTTATTGCGGGTTTAGCTGCTGTTTGTTTTTTGTGTTGTGATTGACATTTCCACACACACGTATACTAACATGACTGATACTGATTTCCATCTTATTATCTTTAATATCATTTTGTAAAATAAATTATGTTATTGTTAAGATAACTCTGATGTGTTCCTGTTTCATCTTGATCTTTAAGTGTATACACACACTTTTAAGGCATTTCTAATAGATGTTTTATTCTGTGGTATACATGTAACACCTCACATTTTAATAGTGTATGCACTAGATGTGACTTAAATCGGGGTTTTTTTTGTTCATATAGCTTTGAGTGTTAAATATTTTGAGTATAGAAAGGTAAGAAACCAGTATTTTAGGTCAGAGGGACACTGTATGAGTGATTTGGCCCAACAATGTGCTTTAACATAAGTGGTCCAGCAGATGGCGAGGTAGACTCCAATTTATAGTTCCCAATAGCTTGATACAGTAATCTTGACAACATGGTAGTGGGATCAAAATCTGCTTCTTGTTTGAAAAACTGACACTAAATCAGTGGGATTCATCTGACTGGAGTAAAGGTAATTGGGTTTTAGTTGTTTAGAAAATTAAAAGTTAAATCTTGGGAGAATCCTCTGGAACATCTTATCTAATATACTATATATATATATATATATATATATTAGATATCTAATATCTATATATTACGTTATAAATATCTAATATCTATATCTAAAATCTATTTTTGTAAAGTCATGTTGTTCTTAAAATTAAAGGAAGGATATCTTTTTAAAATGAGTGTGGTCTATGTCTGCTCTGAACAGCTACTTAAATTGTGTTTTAGTCTATGATTAAACATTAAACCATTCTTTTCCATGAACGTTCTGGAGAGATACACTTTTCTAAGCCATAACCATAGGCCATAACCTACAGATATTTTGTAGCTTACGTCATCTTCTGAACTAGCAGTGAGTTAGAAGTTTTGTTTATTACCACTAGAGGGAAGCATGAGTGTAGTTTGGTTGTCTATTAAGTAAAATGCTGAGTCACTGTCAGAGAGACCTGCAGCAAAAAAACAACATGAGGTATCTTCACACTGCCAGTGTTCGATGTTGCACACTGTGGCTTACAAACACACCTGATCGGAACAGGTATAAATGATATATCAAGTCATATAAACTCGTGTTTGTTAAATTTAACTTTGGCTTAATTTGAATTCAGGAAGAGAAATTATCTTTTTTGTATAAGACATGAACCCTTAATGGGGCATGTTGGGTATTTGGATTTTGAATCAGAAATACTAACAGAAAACATGAAAATAGAACTTTAATAAGAGCATGGCCTAAATGAAAGGAACATATTTATCATCTCAATGTAAGTAACTAACTGGGACAGATCTGAAAGTGTGTGCTGCTATTTGCAGCTATCTCCTGCCACGTGTTAAATCAGTGACTATGACAGTAAAAGGATGGTTCAGGCTTACTTCTGAGGCCCAACAGAAGTGTGGTGTGGACCTCCTTATGATACCCTCAGTGTGGTGCTGCCAGTTTACGCTGAGATGCCCTCTGCTACACACTGAAATGTGCCAAGCTCAAGGTTAACCAGGAGAAAAGCTGAATGAGGTACATTTATCTGAGAAGAAAGAGGCTGTTTTAAGGCTGGTCTGAATTCTCTCTTTGTCTTGTGTGTCCTGATGTGTGGGAATATGTGTGTACATAAAAACACATTTGAACTCTGGATATTTAAATAAGTCCTCCACCTTCACTGCTCTAGACCGACTACATTCATGCATCATCTGAGTCCTAAATGGAGATTGAGAGGGAACAGCAGAGCCTGATTGACGTTTACAGCAGTCTAATCCTGTTTGATTTATAAATCCTGCTAGACTACGTTTACAATCATTTCCAAAAAAATGTCTTTAAAGTTTATTATTAAGCTCAAGCTGTCTGATTCAGGTTTTGTGAGTTTCCAATACATTATTAGCACTCACACTAAAATGCTGAAGTTTCTATGTTTGTTTTTTATTTTTATTTTAATACTTCAAGAGACATGATAGAGTTGTTGAGCAAGAATATATATCCTGCAACAAATTGACAAAAACAATAATAGAGTGAGAGCTGCTTAACCACTATGAACCACTGTCTTTTTATGCATTTTCTATTGTATGGAACATGTACATTGTACACATGTACCTGTACAGTGGAATGTAGGATTATGCCAAAATAGGGTTTGTGTGATATTCATGTTTTTCTTCTTGCTGGTGTAACAAAACAGGGAAAAAAGTTACAAATGCAGTTCAATACGACCGTCTTACGATAAAACCTACATTTATATGAAGGTTTGTTGAAAGTGAGAGTTGTTGATTCAACTTTAAGCTCTTTTTGATATTGCATTACACAAAGAGGTGTTATTTATCCTATCCTCATTGATTTAAACGGGGCAGACAGAACACCCGTCAGAGTAACACAATACAATTCAGCAGCACCAAAAAGAAAATTCTCCAAACATCTCTAAAACAGTTTCCACAAAAACTGAACATTATCAACTTTGTGAAAGTATGATTTATTTTCATGGCTGCAGCATTTTAGTAAGGTGTTCCTAACTGGCAATTGAGTATTAGTGGGTGTTGCCTTAAGACAGGGTTGAATTGTGGGTTGTTTGTAGCTTTAATTTTGCCCAGCTAACATAGTTGTCTATTGTTGAATTACCACCCAATCCCAACTCTGTCCATTAAGCACATTTTAACCAGGGGTTACAAGCATTGGCTTCTTGCTGGTCTGACAACCACATGTTTCTCAAGTCACCTGTTTTGACCGTTGAAATAAATCCCAAAGAACTCCAGAGATTCAACTGGTGTCAGGTGAGAAGGTGGAGATACTAAGAAACAACATAACTTAAAATATTTCCAAGACAAAAATTAACGTTACTCGCCGAGTGTACGTTAACGTTACGGATAACTTTAGCTTCACTCGAAAACACACCTGGACAAGCCAAACAAAGGTAAGATGAATGCTTAAGAGTATGTCATACTCGTACATGATGAAAGGCCTCAATGATAAAAACTTAACTTTGGCAAACCTACCTTTGGTAAAGCACCCAATCTGAAACACGAGTAGCTAAACACAGAACAGGATAATGTGGTAACGTTAGCATCTTGCTGAGCTAATGTTAGCTTGTTATTAGCATCATTCGTGACTACAGAATCATATCACCTTCCGTAAGCAACCTGTGGTAGGGACAGGTCAAACTATTTTTACCTGTTATTCAGGAGTGGATTACATTTCTTAAGGTATTTTCTTCAGATGTCTACTGTCTGTCAGGAATGACACAATGTTTATCCGGGGCGACACCAACGTTTAAATCCAATATTTTCAACGTGTGCCGCTCCACTAACTCAAAGCTATGGCAGGGCAGTGGTTAAGCACATTATTTGGAAATATTGAACATAAACATTGAACAAAAAAAAAAAAAAAAAAAAAAGTCGGATATCTGAACAAAATCTCCAGTTATCCCAAAAATGCAAATTAATAAAATTATAATAATAATCATCGGGTTTAGGAGCGTTGGTTAGTACATTTAGTTCACATATATTGTATTATTTAGGCTATTTATGCTCAGATAACCAAGACACAAAAATCTATAAGCCTAAACAAACCTACGAAGGGTTTGGACACTGTAGAGGGTTATAACTTTACATATTCCCAGGTGCTCTGTGTGTTCACTCTAGATAGCATATGAAGGGACCCCAGATATGATCAAAGACTGATACATTAACCCTGATAGCACATGTAATTAATGTAAAAGGGCTGAGTTGTTGACAATTTTACTAATCCATTTATTCTCGGCGCTCTAATTATGAAAGTTGCACCGGAAATAAATATTTTTTTTATCTGTCTTCACCCTCCCTTCCCCTCCCTCACCTCTTAGCACCCCCCACCCTCCACCCCCACCCTCTGGAGATGGAGTCAGCCTCGGCGTCGGCTCCAGGGGTTGTTGCCATGGAGATCCCGGTGCGAGGTGCGCTCCCGGTGGTGGAGGAAGACGAGGGCTACAGCGCGCCTCCTCCTGGGTCCGAGGAGCGACTACGGTACCGTCGAGGAGAAGGGAGACGGCGACGCGGGGTGCCGTTCAACCGGGGCGGCTACTACATGCTGATAGTGATCGGGGAGATCGGCACGGAGCACCAGCTGGACACCGCCAGAGCGCAGATAGAGCAGGGTGAGTGATGGACGAACAGCCGCTCTCAATCCGTGCTTGTTACCTTTTTTTTTTTAGCAGTTGTGTTTCAGAGTGCAGCGTTGGGATGGAAAGTCGCGGAAAAAGGTTAAAACCTGAAAACATCAAGAGGAGAGAAATATTTTGACGCAATGGATAGGATAGGAATCCATAGGTAGAGGTAGTTGCTGCAGCATTGCACCATGGGACACCACCACGCATTTTTCCCTTACCCACTGCGAACTCTATGACTGTAAAAATGCAGACTCAAGTTGTAAATGCAGCAGATGTATTTTTTACTTTAACAGAGCAGCAAGCAGCCTCCCTCTCAGTTTTAACAAATACTGTTCTATTTATATCGAGGCTACTAATCAATGTATGAATCAATAATTACAAAGTAAGCAGACATTAACAGACCTGATGATCAGCGTGGCTGTCTGTGTTGCTGCAGCCATCCAAAATGCTTCTTTGTATTTTAGCAGGCTGTGTTTAAGCTTGTGGATGGGTTGTCATGTAAACTCAAACTACTAAACAAACAGGTTGCAATGAGCAATGACAACACAACAGCTTCACAGATATTATTAAGGACAACATGCAGCTTTCTGTTTCCTGCTGGACTCGGGCATCCATTACTCAGCTGAATATCTCAGCACTGTCTGAGTTCAAAGCCTGCTTCTCATCTTGAGGAATTACAGCAGAGATTCTGTCAGTGCTGGCCGTCTGAAGTTTAGGGATGTAAAGGCATTGTTGTGAAGGATGTTGCTGTGTGTTGCAGACTCAGGAGTATGCCCGTCAGCAAATTTTCTGCTGTGCCGTTGCCACTCTAAGCTGTTCTTATTTCGGATGATCAATCGCAGTTTTAGATGCCTCCAAGGCGCCATAGCAACCCCATCCATCCCATGTGACCTCCTACAGTCGTTAGGGACTTGAATGCTGCTCTGTGGCGAGCTCAGTATCGCTCACGCCCCCGGCTCATTACAGCATCGATTCTTTCGCCCAGGCCGGTGTTTTAAGTGTGACTCAGTGTGAACGACCTGCCATTGACTCTCATTACATGTTATCTGCAGAGTCCTTTTGTTGGCCTGCAACAAGTCACCCTCACTGCAGTGTTGTAGTCAAACACGGTTAAATATCTTTTTATTAAATCAGATGTGATTTGTTTGCCTTTAAATCTGACAGTGCTACAGCTTATCATTCTTTTCATTATTGATTAATGTTACAGTAATTTTTTGTTCTGTCGTTTAGATGCTTAAATGAAATGAACTTCCCCAAAATCTAATGTAACTTTTCTAAATAGGTTATTTTCTTTACCTTAAAGAAAAGCTGCAACGATTACTCGATTTGTTGTCAGTTATTAAATGATTAAATGCAACTATTTTGATAATCAATTAATCGCTTTGATTCCTTTTTTTAAAAGAAAAAAACATTTTCTGATTTTAGCTTCCCAAATGTTCTTTCCTCCTCTATGACAGTTGATTGAATATATTTGGGTTGTGGACAAAAGACGTTTGAGGACGTCACTTTGGGCTTTGGGAAACACTGATTGACATTTTTCACAATTATCTGGACCTAACAACTAATCGATTAATCGAGATGGGGGTGTTGGTGCCGCAGTGGATAAGACACCCGCCTTTGGTGTGAGAGACCCGGGTGCACTACTCCACATCGACCAATGTGTCCCTGAGCAAGACACTTAACCCCTTAGATGCTCCAGAGGCAACTGGCGTGCGACCTCTGACATATACACATCAACTAATGTGTTCCTGAGCAAGACACTTAACCCCTTAGTTGCTCCAGAGGCAACTGGTGTGCGATCTCTGATATATATACATTGACCAATGTGTCCCTGAAGAAGACACTCTGGATTAACCCCGGCGTGCGTCCTTTGGATAAAAGCGGCAGCTAAATGAATAAATGTAAAATTATCGGCAGATTAATCAATAATGAAAATATTCATTAGTTGCAGGCTTAACTTCAAGGTCAGGTATGGGATTCTGGAGAAATGCCATGATATATAACACAGCATATAGTATAATGAGAATAATAGTTTACTCTTGCATCCTTTGCACTCTGATCACTGCACTATTTGTCAATATGTCTATATTGTTTTGTTCATAGTGTGTATATTAGTGTTGTCTATTATTGTGTTATGGTATTTTTGTACGAGTAAGCACATCGTGAGCAATGTACAATCCTGAGTCGAATTCCTCGTATGTGTTCACATACCTGGCAATAAAACTGATTCTGATTCTGATATAACTAACGTTAGCTAAATTGTGGGTTAGCAAACTGTTGCTACAATTGCTAACAGTTGCTAAGCTAACATGCTGAGAGGACGAGACAGCACAGCTCCAGACAGTGACACTCACGACTCTCCTGCTACTGTAGCTAACATCACAACAATAGCATGTCTTGGTAAACCAGAAAGTAAGCTGAACATCTGTGGGCAAGTCATTTAATGTTACCAAACACACAAATCATGGCTGGAATAGTGTTTTGTGGCGGGGTGCGGGTCACTTTGTTTGTTTCCCATTTACAGAGCCAGGGCTCTGTGCAAACACCTCATTTTTCAGCACACACAGATCGGACAGCCAGCGGCCTCCAAGGAGATATTCGCTGAGTTTGTTTCTGAAATTTATTGGATTAGAATTGCTTACCCCACCTTTATGGTTGTAGCTAATATTTTAAATTGTTTTTAAATAAATTGTTAACTAATAATTTTCTATTATTATTTTGAATAATCCAGTCATTGTTTGGTCTATAAAATATTCAAAAAACTTTGAAAAATGTTCAGAAGAAATATGTAAAAAAAAAAAAAAATCACAATTTCCTAAATGCCAAGCTGACATCTTCAAATAGCTTGTTATACTGACCAACAATCCAAAACCTGAAGGTAAAACATGCTGCAAATCCTCACATTTGAGAAACTGAAGCAAAGGAATCTTTGTAGCTTGAAAAATTACTTTAATGGTTAATAAATTATCAAAATAGTTGCAGATTAAGTTCATCTTATCAGCTAATTGATTAATTATCTAATTGTTTCTCTTCTAGTCTAACTAACAACCCAAAGGCCCTAGATTTACAATTATATGCAAAAAGAGAAAAGCATCAAATCCTAACGTTTAAGAAGCTGTAACCAGTGAATGTTTGCTTGACAAGTAACATATCATTTATTTTCATCATTTTCTTTTTAATTTGATAAACTAATCAATTAATTGACTTATCTTTTCAACATCAAACCTGATAAATTAGCATATTATCATTACTGGCTTGTCCAAATATTTTGCTTTTGCCAGGGCTACGACATTCACATGTTTATTTTTTAACCCATGGCTTAAGCCTAGTTCAGACTACGCGATTTTTAGCCCGATTTGCCGCTCGTTATGTGTGAACTACAGGCAGGCAGCTGGCAGAGCAGGCAGCTGGCAGAGCAGGCAGCTACTTTTTCACTACAAAACACTTTTTACTCACCTCCAGCTCTCTCTGTAGCTCAGACAATCCCTGCTACCTGCGTGTGTTAATCCATTGTTTTACCCATATTTTTTGTCTTTGTAAGTGGTATCTTCATAATAACAAACAACAGCTGTTTCATGTGTAGGTTTGCGTCATTTCCCGTTTCACATTTCATGTGTGTTTTCTTGACAAAACGTGGTTTGGACACCAGTTGGACACATCCGGAGCTTGTGATCCAGTGTTTCTACCACATGTGCTGGGGAGACTGTCAGGCCGACAACACCTTATTAGGATTAACAGATCACGATCGTAGAGAAACGGAAAGTTAGTGCGACTGGGGTTCTGACACTGAGCTTAGTGCTCTTCCCTTCTTGCTTTAGACACTATTAAGACACCATGTCCCAAACCTGATTCTGTGTGGTCACACGTTTCCCTTCATACAAGTGACTGTAGGTGCTCTGCAGCGTTTAGCAGCCATAATCCTTTGGCTGCATCTCAAGTGGGAAATGATGAAATGTTTTGCACACAGTGCAAGAAATTACCCATTTAGTAACTGATAAGGTATTAATAACATATTTGTATTAATATCATTATTAACATTTCACATTCCTCCCATCCAGTAACTGATGCTCGCCTCTTGCAGACGCTTCACAATGAACAACAGCCGTGGTCAGCTTGAATTATGAAGGTGACAATTGATTCGAGCTTTGAGATAGTGGATAAAAAGACAATCAACAGAAACTACTCAAGCCTCACCCGCCTCACAGCCCGCTGATTTGTTATTCATCCATATGCTCAGTATGTTCTGTATCTTTTGTAATGGACGTAAATCAAACTGACCGCTGCTCTTTAAAGGACTAAACTACAGCACATTTTTAAGACTATAGCAGATAAGTGTTTCATACTAAAAAGATTTTGGGTGGAGTATCTGCTGGATTGCTTAAGTGATGAGGTTGTTCACTGATTTTCAGTCACGTAGCTTTACTGGCCACGCTATGGTGAAGATCTTTATTCAGGCTAAAATTAATCTTTGATACTGGAACCTCCAGGTCTGAAAAATTAAGCCAACCCGGAAGTGCCAAAAACTGCAGTTCAATAAAAGCCTCACAGACTCACTAGGATAGTGTCTCGAAGTGTGTGATTGTGGAGATTGGGATTCAGCCAGTGGCTCTTCAGAAACATATGAATGATGTCACCTACATTATGTCCATGTTTGTACACAAGCAAACTAAATAACAGAATTTTTCAGTCTAACTTTCTTTGGTATGTTTAATCAAACATTTTAGCCCGATTTGGGACTGTCTAATCCACTGATAAAGCACAAATTTCACCTTTTGTGTTTTATGTCTGAGTACATTTTTTGAATGTGGCGTCATCTTTGTGTCATTAGGTGGATTCGAGATGACTGCGGCTGACTTTCGCCAGTTTAATAGTATAACGTGAGCTGCAGGTGACTGCATGGGCAGGGAATAAAAATGTCAAGTCGGACACAGTCTACCTGCATGAGCTTACTGTGAGCTGAGATGACTGATGACTGATCTCCAGCATTT